CAGGCTGAGGTGAGTCTTAACAATAAACTTCCTCATTAGCAACTACCAATAAAGAAAGCCTCAAAAAGCCCAACACCACACCAGGCAACAACAAAAACCACAAATTAGGCAAGCTACAGGTGGCAAGCGTCCTTTGCAGATTTAGTCAAAGTGGCTCCTGCAAAGCTTTGCCGATGGCAGCAGCAGAGACAGAATCTGTAATGTGCAACTCACTGTAGAACCAGCACACACAGCCAAAGATGAAATGTGGGGTTCAAGTACTGAGTCAGCCCATGTTAGAGTACAGAGCCAGTTTAGATAAACAGTAAAACCAAACATTAGCCATTTCCCATTTTTGCTCACAGGGGAAGAAGGCAAGACAAACAAACCTCCCATCTTCCTTTGATATGTCTTCCTCTTCCCCTTTGTAATATCTGATAGTTCTCATTTCCCTGAACTTTGCAGAACATCTTAAAACAACTGTTCTCGAGTGCAGAGGTGCAAACACATGGAACCCAGTCACACTAGCCTGACACGAGGGAAAGCAAATCCCACACCTTCTCTTTGCATCAGCTCCTGGAGACAGAAGTTGCAATCAATGAGCTCTGCAGGCAGCCCCTGACACTGCTGCCATGGAAAAGGACAACTAAGGAGATGCCAGTTTCCGTAGTGACTTGGGAAATTCAACCAGTGCCTCAAGTGGACCGTGCTGCTTTGCACCACGCCACAGGCTGCTCCTCCTGCGTGCTCAACTCCCACAAGGGCTGCGGCGCCACTGCCCGCTGGCAGAGCGGGGAGTACACCTGCATTTTCTGAGCTACTGATGAACCTTCTAGAGAAAAGGGGCTGGGGTTGAGAAAAATAAATCTCATCAATTTTTAGCAGCACTGCCGTATTTCAAGTCAATAATTAAGTGCTTCAATTAGCTGATATTTCTCAGCAAGATTTATTCTAGCTCCTGCCATGAGTCACATCTCAAAGTGGTGTTGCAGTGTTACCTACTTCCAGAGACTGCTCCCACATAGGTATTACAAAGCCTTATTTTTCATATGGAAAGTTCACTTTTTTGGAAGACCTGAAAGTTTCAGGAAACTATTCTAAATCTGACAAGGAACTGAGAAAAGTCAAGGATATCTTCAGCCATTTGCCTACAGACATGAAGCTGTGCATACTGCCGCGGCATTTCAAGGAACACCTACACCCTCATGCAACTGAAGTTGATTGAAAAATGTAACTTCATGTGCTGCAAAGTGCTGTCAAGCTTAAGAGAAATTTGGTCAAAATACAATATGAAGAACATGCAAGAGAATGTCATGGGTAGTGGAACAAAAATGGATCAGGAATAACCTTGAATCAAAGTTCTGAGGGCAGAAAGAATGTATAGGGAAAAAAAGAAATATCAGAATGACTACACCCTGTTACAGCTAACAAACGCTGTTCAAGGCCTGATAGATATCTCTTGCACATATAGGCCAGATCACCTCGTATCTGTTACGAACCTGTGACATGGAGGGCTTTGTCACAGACACTTTCAAACAGAACATTTCCATGGCAGCAGGTAATCACCAGGATCCCAATGTTAGATGCCAGAGCCACCATCTGCCCAGTGCCAACATCAATCAGTGGCAACTTAATAAATGTCTTGGGAAATTAAATAAATAAATGAGTAAATTATTTCTATTTTGCTTTTCAGGCCTTCTCAAATGTACAATACTGGCAAACAGCAGCATTTCAAGACATGGCTACAATTTAAGCAATATTAAAAGCACTTAGCTATCCTTTCTTCATATAAATATTTTCTTGCTACAATATTTTATGAACTCTACCCATCAACTTGCCTCTATTTCCAAATGGAAATTGCAAGCATCACCAACACGTCAAGTGAATAGAAATCTAAAAGATAAGCAGTTACTAGAGTAACTTCTTTTCAGAAGTTTCTTTAAGGGCAGGATCTAACAAACACTCCAACAGGGCTCTCAATCCTGTTAAAGAATACTATCATGTTTCTGAAAGAGATGCCACAGGCTAGGGAGAGGGAGCAGGCCACACTGATGAGCAGTCTTTGCTCATGAGGAATAGCAATTTGGAGCAACAGGTAAATTCTTCACAGTGAGAACAACAAGCCATTGACATAACATCCCCAAGGAAGCTATGGATTCCCTAATGCTGGATGCTTTCAAGATTCGGCTGGACAGGGTGCTGCAACACGTAGCCTAGGTCGTGTATTGCTTAGAAAGGTTGGACCTGTTGATCTTTGAGGTCCAACCTGGTATTCTATAACTCTATGGGACGCGAGGTGGGAGCATCTACAACAAGGAAGGGATCAGCCGCACCTCCCGCAGCGGCCTCCCTTCTCTGGTGCCCTCCCCGAAAGAAAGGTGGCGGCTACTGCTGCGGGTGCTGGACCGGCTCTACCGACCTCCGCCGCGGCCGACCGCGGTGTTTCCCGCAGCGCCGGCTGCTGCCCCGTCTCTCCCTCCGCTCGGCTTGGCCCCTCCGTTCCGCCGCCAGCCTCACCTGAGGTAACGTCCTCCCGCGCCCGGCTCCGGCCTCCTCCCACGGCGCGTGGGCACGGCGCTCTCGTGAAGCGGCCGCGCGGCGGGAGGGTGCCGGTTGGGGCACCTGAGGGGGGCCGCGAGCCCGGCGCGGGCTGGGGAGAGGGAAACGAAACGGGAAGCGGGACGGCGTGTGAACGGCAGCAACCCGAACCGGGTTAAACCCACTTCGGTCTGCGCCTGCACGGGTCGCGCGGGGCTTGGCGGCAGTCAGAGCTTTGCGGGTGATGCTGTGATGTGCCGATTGAAAACGCTTGTGTGAAGCGGCAGGCTGAAGCAATTAGTTACCACAATCAGGGGTGATCTGAAGGCCCGGTGGGTAATTAACTGCTTTATATTCCAGCTCTGTAGTCCTTATCATTAGACTGAGAATTTTCTAGAACATCTTTCCCTTTTCCCCACACCATCCAGTTGGGACATAGTTTCAGACTCCCTTTTCAGAGGCTTTTCTGAGGAATCCCTGCGTAGTTTCAGCAGCTTTCCAATGCTCCTGATAGGAGCACCAATAAACAAAACCATTCCCCCACACCAAGATCCCTTATTTCAGCCACAGTGTAATTTGCTCATGTTCCAGGTAGTGCTCTTCCCATTGGCCGTTTTAATCTCTCAGCTTTATGAATAATTAAACATTTAGTGAACCTGATGGGCAGTGACCGACTCTGGACCTTGGGATCTAGTCTGGGGTTAGAGCTGCCGTTACTATCGGAGACTCTTCTGCTCTGCTCCCTCAGTAACAATCCGCAAGCGTAATGATTTGGGGTTAGGTCCAAAACAAGACACATAAATAATAAAACAGCACATTATCTCAAATATTTTGACTGTAAGGACCAAAACTTTACAATAAATTACATTAGGGGATGCATTGTGAGTTCCTTATGCTGTAAAATCTGTAAAACACGCATTTGCAGAACTTCACGTTCAGAATACTTGGGGTATACATACAAATACAACAGCCACTGCAAAAAATAAGAACTTCTTGCTGCTGAAGGCTGTGTGGAATACAGGAAACATCAAAAATTACAGCACCAGACTGGCAAATAACAAACAACTTAATATTGGCACAATTTAAATAATTAAAAAACAAAACAAAACCAAAAAAGTGGGGTGTTTGCCAGGGCTACCAGGCTTTTATAAACTATGTTTTCATGCCATCAGTTGATCACGTTGAACACTGCTGAGCTCCACATGTCACTGTCATGCCGCCAAAGGGAGGGAGTTGCAACAGGGAAAATATTTCATTCATTGAGAGCAGAAGGTTTGCCTGACATTTAAAATGATGTGAGGAAAAGAGGTTGCTGTTAAGCTTTCCCACTCATAGCCTGAAAGTCTCGTCATTCATTAGGGAGAGCTATTTTAAACGAACCCATATGTGGTTGGCAGCAATGTAGACACAGTATTTCTGAGGCAGGTCTTAGAAATTTTTAGGAATTCACAAACAGAAAAACACTGAAAAAGCTTACTCTTGGTCACCAAAATTACCTACAGTTTCTTCTGCTGAGGACTCCTTTTCTGATTTAAACAAGTGCTTTACTATTTTTTGTTGTCATCTTCTTGTTTTTCTATTAAGCATCTATTAAATCTCCCTCTCTTTTGTCAGAGTACATTTCAAGGTTTAAGATGTTACATTTGTGGTATCAGGCAAGCCTTTCTGAAGTGTAGTCTGTGCCTACACAGAAGGCTGTTCCAGAGCTTCAAGTCCTGCCTGACGTCTGTTGTATACCAAAAGTCATGGCAAAGAGATGGAACGAGTTCTGGTTTCACATGGAGGCACGCAATCATTGCTGCTCTCTGCAGCTCCCCACAGCGTCATTTACAACCCTCATACAGCTACAGTTCCAAGGCAACCCGGATCCACAGTCACCGTGGGTTTTGAATGGAGCAATCATTACATAGGCACCCGAGTCAGCCTCAAAGTGAGAATCTCTCCAGGAGCTAGGAATGCCTTTTGAAGATGTTAAACTTTCAACCATCTTTGAAACACCTCACCTTTTAAAATCAAAATGAACACTGGTAGGTACATTTTTGACACTTAATTAAACATTTTTGAAATACAGATATGTGTATGTGCACGCATGTATGTAAATGTATTTTGCATTTGCAATTTAGGGATTCTCACCTGTCGAGAATCTTCCCTTTTGCATTCTGAATGAAAGCAGTGTGGGTTTGTTGTTTTTTTTTTCCGGCATGGTTTTTCTTTCTGTATAACTAGAAAAACTAATTCACTGAGCCCCACTTGTGGTCCTCAGTCCTCTCTCGTGCAACAAAAGTGTAATTGGCAGTTCTCAAATACCCAGTGACAGCAGAATTACATTTTTATGTTCTATTCTTCATATTTTACAGGAATCAGAATGTTCTGGATTATTCTCCATTATGCTATTATATAAAATTTAATTAACCTGAAACCAAAATGACAATCAACAATGACAACCTACCCCTGCTGAAAAGCAGCACTGAAGCTGCTGGAGGGATGAGCTGGCTGAAGGGGAGGCAGAGGCAGAGAAGGGATTCTATTAATGGAAGGAAGAGTGAAAGAGAAGGAAGCTCAGGAAGGTCTCATAGAAGATTCACAGAGAAAGTATGTAAGATTAAGGACAAAATTAATTTCATACTGTTTCTTTCTTTGACTGCTGCTGAATGTATGGCATGTGGGACAAACCGGTGCCTGGCTTAACTACAGAAAATTGACAGCAGCTGTACTTCTGTGGGGATTAGAAGGAACTGCTTCCTGACTCACAGGTCTGTGTAAAATATATCCATGCACAACTTGGCTTAATGTATTCTTCAACAGATAAAGCTAGCAAGTTAAGGAACCCAAAAATGTTTCTTTTTAATTTACCAGAAACACCATCATTTGTTATTCTTGTCAGTTCTTTTATTGGTTTTCATCCTAAAGACTAGCACATTTACAGCATACATGGATTGGATGAACTAGAATATATAAAACAGTAGCCATATGATATATTAATACTGCCCAAACCCAAATAAATAAAAATATTTCAATGCACAAAGCTTGGCAAATACAGTTGTCTTGGGACAAAACAGTTTTGTATTATACAATAATTTTACATGTATAAATGAAACAAAAGGCAACTGTGCTGTAGGTACTTTCACAGAACATACACAGAACATACTTGGCAACAGTTGGTTTTTTTTTACCTTTGTATGTTTTATAATTTAAAAAAATGTACTCAAAAAAGACCATTAGACAGAACTTATTTTTACAGTAATCCTTAGTTTTGCCTCTCCTGTGCAACAGAAAAGCGTACTTCACCCTTGTGAAGCATCCTATGTGGATTTCAAGTTTCACAGTTTTCCTTTTTTGATGAACTGCCCAAGATCTTACTGTTCATTGCACCCTTTAAACAAGCCCATCAACGTGCATGTATTGACACTGGCGTATATATAAAATGTTAGCTGGACAACCATGTTTTACGTGTAAGCATACTGAAACCAGGATATTTTAAACAAAATAACGCCGTACTTGAGACTGGTATTCCACCACTTTGAAAAGGTGAGCAAAAACCATGCACATACAAAATTCAGCCACTTTTTCTGATTACATTGGTATAGAAAATAAATAAAGGCTCACTAAGCTTGAGAGCAGATCTCATGATTGTTGGACACAGTGTGAGAGAGTGGCTCTGTTAATTGTTACAACAGACCTCTTGTTCTTCTCTTCTGAAGCTGAACATCACAAGATTTTTAGTGTAACAATACAGGACTTAGAATATAATTCAATATGTTTGAAATATACAAAATAAAATTATCAACTCATAAAAACTAAGGGATACAAAGAGTATAGTTTATACAAAAATAAATGTAGCATTTAATAATGGGCCTGGGACTGAAGGTTGAGCAGAGATCAACCAAAGAGATCCCATTGAAAAGTTTTCTCACCATATATTTGTTTACTCATTAGCAAAAAAAATACAAACAAACATTTATTTATTGTGGTGAACAGGGTTGGTAAAATTACAAGGGACTGTTCTACTGTAGGTGATTTGCTCACACCTGGGACAGGTACTACAATACACAGATTTTGCACACAGTTCAGTGTTTTGTTATCTGAGAGAGACAGAACAGTAACAGCCTCGCTCAGCAGAACACTCTCTGACCTGGCTCTCTGACATGCTGCTCAGCGTTTGATTGCAACAAGCAAAATGCAAAAACTGCTGGACTTGTAACCCCCAAACCTGTATGGGAGCAGAATGAACATGACTGATTGAGAGAGCAGTGACAGCACAGACAAACATCAGTGAGAGGGAGAAAGGAACCAGAAAACAGCCATATACTTACCTGGCTGTTGCTACTTTCACAAGAATAAATGGGCAGATTTTTCTATTCTAAAACCGACATTCTTAGAAGCTAAGAAGAACAGGGCACAGTGTGCTGAAGGCTGATTTAATCCTGTTAGGTATTCTGTTAAAATCTTGTTCGAATTTGGAAATTAAGGTTTAGCTGCTTTTTAAAAAGGTATCGTAGTTTCAAAGGCATTCTTTGGGAGATTATTTCTGAGGAGATCTGTTGAATGTTTTTTATCAAACGCTTATCAAACTGATCACCTTGTCATAAGCTAGAACACACCTGCAGTTCTAGCGCAGTACTGGTAGTAAATGAACAGTTCCTTTCTATCAACATGGGGCATTACCACCTTCCTCAAAAATGCCCTGAAAACACTCATACTTGCCCTCCCTGGATTCTGAACACCTGCCCAGGTAAAACGCAAAGAAACCAATTTGGGTTATGGAGTAGCAGGAATGCATTGGGCACTTTCAGCATTTTTGTACTGACATACAAAATTGACATGAGAGAAAAAAATCAAATACCAATAAAAAAAAAATTACCCCTCCCCCCACCCCTGCCCCCCGTGATACTTAAAATCCAGAACTGACATAAAAATTCATGGGTAAAAATGTGTTAATTAATATATGACACCGTGGGAGAGACCCAACATGTCACATGCAACATTAGCAACCTGCTTGTTGCACTTGCTTTGTAGTGGGGAAGGGCAGAGGGAACTGCTGCTGGTGTTAATGATTAAGTTTCACCGTGTTTCCAAAACAGTTCTTAACATCAGATGTGTGCCCAAGTCCTTACTTGCCAAAGACAGCAGGAATTTGTTTTATTTGGACAGAACTAGAAACCAGACTTCATATACCTGGCCTTTTCTGTACTGTTAATCTCGTTTATGAAGATATATACATATACAGTATACATATACATATACAGTATACATATACAGTAAACAAATTATACTCCTGGCTTTTATTGTGCTGATTTTTTCTTTTTAAGTTAAACTTCTGTTTCTTGATTGTAGCAATGCATTCTACAGCTATTAGACTGTCTAGGATCCAATCCCTTTTTATTTACAGCTTTTGAGTTTTACTCACAGTTTTAAAAAGTTTATGAAAAGCTCAATCTCAAATTCAATTCTGTATAAAAAGATGTGTCATGAAACAGCTGCCCAACGCCATTCCTAGAGTCCTTGCCCACCCAGGAGGTACCTAGCTATTTGCATATAGATAATTAGGAAGTAACACAATTATCTGGTTGTTTTACATACACTGAAGGCTATTTAAACGGGCAGAGCGTTATCACACTATTCTCAAGCTAAGGTGTCAGAATAATTGTTACTAGAGATTCCAATTCTGTAAGTAACATGCTCTGGATAACCTAGCGAAACGTACAAAAAGGTGATTTATCTCCTCTGGATGACAAAATCACGGATTAATCTAGAGTGTATCCACACGTTTTAATGGAACAGCAATTTAAGGACATAGTATGCTTATGTTTCAACTTTTCCATAAGTTCCTTCTGGAGGCCTGTAATACTTTGGGAAAGCCTTCAGTTGCAGGGAATTAAATGCATACTTGCGACATCCAACATTCTTCATTGTATTTTCTCGGCGACAACCCTCACTGGGGAAAAAAAACAAGCACAAAAAATGACAGCAGTAAAAAGGAAAAAAAGAAAAATAAAAAAAGACTTAAACTAAGATGAAATGAACTGGTTATTTTATAGCATTGAAAAAAAAAGTTGGTTATATTTAATGAGCGCTTAATTGATTTGCCATTGCAAATATTAAAAATGAGGACTCATCATACAATGCCAGTCAGAAGCACACAGGATGGACACATGCTATGTCAGATTGCTAGTTTTGCATTTCTAAAAAGCAGCAGCACATCTACTGAAAAAAGTTCTTTCATCGATGGTTTCATGTATTTCAGGAGCTCACATGCTGCTTCTTTGCACAAGGGATCTCAAGAGATTGCTTAAAAGCAGTTCTGCTAATTTATTAATACATTAAGCTGAAAAAGAAAAACTGCTGATTTCTCAGTAAGAGCTTGGAAGTAATTTTATTGTTCCCTGCATTATCAGTACTTACTTAAAGATTAGAGCTGATACAAAAATAATGACTTTCCAGTAATCTCTGCATGCATAAATTGACTTGAAAACCAACATAGTCTAAAAAAATCTTAATCACGAAACACCAACTTTGTGTGGGTGCAAAAAAGATTGGCTGCACTGACAGTCATCACTCCAATGAAACAAAGCTGTGGAGAATTTCATTTTCACTCAATGCTTTGGTGCAACTGCCCCACATTACAAAGAGGTTCTGTGCTACAATAAAAAACTACTCCAGTTATAAGGCTTCTTTACACTCATAAATCTACTTCACAGTTCCTTTGATTACATCCAGAAACAGACGTACAAGGAGGAAGCACTATTGTTTACATATATATTATAGATCGAGTTAGGCTTGCAGGAGAATGTCTTTCCCTGATAGAGGACTGAAACCTAAACAACAAATACTAGAACTTCATGACAAAATGTACAGTACAGCATCTTATGGTGGAAATACCACTTTATTCCTGTCCTGGAGATGCTGCAGCATCTACCACAGAAACCGTGGTCATCTGATTGAAAAGGAGGGTTTGGATTCCCATTCAGTTCGAAAGCTCTCTCACTCAAACTGACCTCACTGTTCTTCTAATTTGGGCTAGTTAAGCTGACCAGAACTGTGTTCTGTATGTACCTCCTAGATCGACGTTGTCAAATACAGTAACTTTTTGCTTTAAGACAAAGTTTAAGTGAGTTTGATATTTGTCTCCAGAGCACATTCTGTGCCTGCCTTTTATGGAATGGGTTGTACATGATGACACTATTTTCATGGCACTGCTTTGTGTTTTACAGGAACCCCTCCTCCAGAGGCTCTTGCAGTCAAATAGATTAATCAAAAATAGGCACAAATTATACTTCCGAGTACTAATAAAAACAATGGTTAACTAGCAAATATCGGATACCAGATGAGCATTTTCACTCCAAAGTGAATAAAAAATTCTGTTCATAATTCATCCCACTGCATCTGGTTATTGCACATTCCCCTCCATGACACAAGGAGGCCACAGAGATGGTGACAGACGTATTTCACACACCATCTCATGTGCTGTGTTTCTTCTGGAGGCACATAAGCAGTGTGCACTACAGCATTTTAAATCTGAATGCCTGAATGACAGCACAGACCAAGCTAAAAATAAAAAAGATGAAAACTTGTTCCCACTAAAGCTTAAGAAAATGAGAAAATAAATACTGTTTTCAGAAAGCCTGGGGTTTTATTCTAGATAAATTTAAGGGTGATCTTACCCTAGTGATAGTCATGAGCAAAGCCTTTAAGCTTTATTTAAACAGATTAATAATCTTAGGGAGTTCAGTGGAGATAACACCTACTACTAAAATTGCTTTCACATGTTGTTAGACTGAGCTCATGACACTCATCACATTGCAAGAGCAAAACCACAGTCCAACCTGACATTTTGTTCACTTTGTGAAAAGGCAGATTTTGGTACCCATAGCAAATGAACCAGGAAGAAGAAATTATACGTACAGAGACACAGTGGTACCAGATAACCAGCACAGGGTGTGGATGTGTCCAGTACCATCATACCACAATTTTAAATCTCATCAGCAGTAAGGATTTACCTAAATCCACTGCAACTAAAAATAAATAGGATGCTTAAATATCTATATGTAAATATAGATAGATATGTATGGCTTTCTGTTTGGTTTGGGGTTTGTTTTTTGGTTGTTTTGTTTTTGTTTTCCTTTTAAAAGAAAATGGGAATAGTGAGGAAAACTACCAGGAGACAGTGTACTGTACAGTCTGATTTCATGAAGATACAAATATAACCACATACTTTTTTGGTTTTAGTTAGAATATTCACCAAATTTAGGATTTTGCTCTATTTTTTACTCTAACTGTGCTTTTTTCTTTTCTTAAGCATACCTCTCTCAGCAGGTAATTTCAAATTCCATTAAGACTGATAATAAAAGCTATAGCTACCTATAGTTTTTAAGCAAGTTAATAATAGTAGAAAATAGAAATCACAGTACTAGGAGAATTCTCCTCAAAAGCCCAATTTTCTGTCATCTCAGGCACCAAGCGAAGTGAATTCCTTCATGAATTTAGCAAAGTACATTAAATGAGGTTAGATTTTTAATCAGCTATTGCTATTGACAAGCTCTGCCACACAACTGCAGCAACAAAATCTTTCAGTTTCGTAGGCCTCTTCCAGGTTGATGTTACATCAACAAGGACCAAATTTCATCTGCAGTTATTCTGTGTGACTAAACTAGGTAAGCCGCTTTAGTCTCACCACTTAAATAAATGCTAACTTACCATCACTCATTTATCTCTAAGCCACTATCAACATCATAATTTATTAAAGCTGTCCAACACTTAAAAATGGAAATAAGAATAATATTTAGTCTAGTGCAATTAAAACAAAGCGCAGTGGAAAACCCTGAACCCACCTACTAAAGGAGCTAACTGATACCTCCCCTCTTCTTGCCTGAAATATTAAAGACTGGTATCTTTAACTTCTAGGATGAGAATGACCCTGTTTCAGAATAAGTTCTATAACAGAGCACCTGAAACAGATAATGGACCATTAGCAGGCCAATGCAAATTACATCCTCTTTCTAACCACAAGTCATTCACTTCATGTCTTCAATACATTACAAAATGCAGATCTACAAATAGAATGAACAAATTCTACATGCAGCGCACTGCAAGTCATTTTCTAAGTGGGTACACTGGTCTGTTAGAACATATTTAACCATGAGAAAGGAACAAGACTATGGCTCTACAAATTGTTCAGCAATGTAATTTGGATATTATCATTTGAAATGAAGGTAGAAATTTGTTTATTTCTTTAAATAAATTTCTTATAATTTCTTATAAACCCCACCCATGTTTTTATTTTTCTCTTCATACCTCGTAAAAATGAAAGGCAAGATTAGCATACACCTTAAATATACAAAAGATACAAATTCTTTTCAGACAGAGTTCCTTTCTCTGGAATACATGAAACAAGTAACACAAAACTATATTTGGTAAGAGATCTTCAGGCCAGCTAAAGTAACGAGGTAACAGGCCAATGTCAGACTATGTTACAAGCACTGAAAGCAGAACAAGAATTTAAAGTTTCAATACAATTCTTTTTGATAAAATAATTTGATGTGTATTTACAGTTTAGTACAATAGAAACGTAAAATTGTAAGGCATAATAATAATTCCTGGCAGACAATGCTATGACACATTCCTTTGTCCAGCAGGTACCAAGTGGCAATACACATTCAAGCTTTTTTTTGCTTTTGTTTTTAAACTTTATCTTCACTTGCAACGTAATCTGGCCACCAGGTAAGCTATGCTCAGAAACAGCCACACAATTAGTAAATTGGGGCTCAGAGCTAGTAAAGGAATAGAGTAGAGGAGGCTGGGATCTAGTCTGAAATCACGGATGGGCACCAAGCCACTCAAGTTCTTCTGGGTGACTACCTCCCGTGTTCCAATGCTGTGAAAAGGAAGAAGGTTGGGAGGAGGGAAATAAAACATAAAGGAAGACGGACATGCAAATGAATGTATAAAAAGAGATGGCAACACAAGGTGGTCAAGAAAATGAAAAAACATGGAAGAAAGCACAACAAAATCCAGAAGATGAAGTAAAGAAAGAGTGGGAAAACGTCTCAAAAATATGTGTCAGCACAATTACAGAAATAAGGAAAGGGAAAGAGAATAAAAGAGAAAAATAAGAAAGAAGTACTGTAGTCCACTAAAAATAAACACATGTAGGTTGAATATAAATGGTTTTCCATGTTCATTGTTTCAGATTGCCAAGCAATAATATCCCATGCTGCTCTGCCATGCCTTTGCATGCTGCAAAGAAGTGGAGCTCTGGAAAGCAAGCTGAACATGAATAACCATTATAGTATTTGACCCTTTCAAACATCTTTCCACTTAGGCTGCAGTGATATAATTTAACCTCTTAACTACCTGCTCAATATGTAAACAAAAAAAACCCAAACCACCCACTTAGTTTTCTGCTTCAACATGAATTCACATGTGTATTGATATGCTTTCTAAAATGCATGTTTCTGAAGTGCCTCAGTATATGCAGGTAAAGGCAAGACATATAGCACAGCCCATCTTGTTATGCCCCTGCTTCCTACATTGCTTTGAGCACCAAAGACTGACAGTAGAGAACACCTCTTCAGGTAACTTGAGGCTTTGTAGTGTGGTGTTTCATTTTAGATTTCTCTTATACCCTCTCCAGTTCAACTCTCTGTTTAGTTTACAAAGCAACAACTAAATGCAACCTGTGTTGCACTTAGAACAAGTGCACTCACTCCATCCATAAAAGGTGGTACATAACCTTGCTGGTTGGGTAGCAAGGTTAGGTAACCAACAGTGTCTTGGAAGACATCAGAGATACCCTAGATGTGGTGGAAGGGGAAAAAAAGCCTTCAGAAGCTGGTGCCATTTCAAGTCAAATGGAATTAGGTGGGCAGGGAACTAAACCAACTGTATTTCTGATCTGGATTAACACATCAAAATTGGTGATGCAAATGTTTTCACCTCCTGGTGCCTATACTGGATAAGGGCAGATTGAATCTGCGATGCCTACAAATCCCAATTATCTTTGTAGTGGTGTGGACAGTGGTGTGTGTTTAAGTGCTCAGGAGAAGCAGTATGTGGAAAGCTAATGCTGACTGGAAAGTTGTAGATAAAAGCTCAACAGAATAGCCTGGAGGAAAGAAAGTGGTTTAGGATATAGATAAGGAAGTAAAACAATGGGAGAGGGCAAGAAGGAAGAAAGGCTCAAAATGGCAAGAAGACGTTATGAACATCACATGCCACATCTGTACCATTAAAGCTATCATGCTATCTTTTACACAAAGACATGCACAGACACATACAGTGCAAATGGAGGCAAGAGCTGGAAAGTGTGTTCCTTGTCACTGTTGGCCCATGTAGATGCTTCCACCTGAGGGGTGAAAAGTCACCTTTGGAAATAACAAATATACCAAATTGTACAGTGTCTTAAAACATTCATCAGCAGACTACGTCTAGGGGAGGACCAGGGTAAAGAGATGAAGCAAATTCCCTGTTAATCAAGCATGTGTATGGGAATCCTCTATGTGAAGAGAAGCTGAGTCTGCCCTGTGTTGAACACAGCTGGCTGCATCCAACTCAAATGGACCCATCGCAGGCACAACCAGACCCCTCAGCCAAGATAGTGGATGTAAGAAAAGGCAAAAGACTGCATGGCAGTGAAGAGTGGCCGGAAAATATGTGAGAAGCAGCCCTATTAGCACCAAAGTCAGAGAAGGAGGGGAGAAGGTGCCCCAGGTCCTGGAGCAGGGATTCCCCTGCAGCCATGAGATGAGTACAGTGGAGCAGATATCCACACTGCAGCCCATTGAGGGACCAGTGGTAGAGAAGGTGAATATTTCCTGAAGGAAACTGGGCATGTAGACAGTATATGCAGAAGCAAGTTTATTCCGAAGGACTGCGGCCCATGGGAAGGACCCATGCTGGAGTGGGGAAGAGTGAAGGAGGATGAAATAGCAGAGAGCTGCTGTTATGGACCAACTGCAAATCCCCATTCCCCATAGAATCATAGAATAGTTAGGGTTGGAAAGGACCTTAAGATCATCTAATTCCAACACCCTGCATGGGCAGGGACACCACAACTAGACCATGTTGCCCAAGACTCCATCCAGCCTGGCCTTGAACACTGCCACGGATGGAGCATTTACCAGTTCTTTGGGCAATCTGTTCCAGTGCCTCACCACCCTCACAGTAAAGAGCTTCTTCTTTATACCTAACCTGAACTTCCCCTCTTTTAGTTTAAACCCATTGCCCTTTGCCCTGTCACTACAGTCCCTGATGAAGCATCCCTCCCCAGCATCCCTATAGGCCCCCTTCAGATACTGGAAGGCTGCTATGAGGTCTCCACGCAGCCTTCTCTTCTCCTGGCTGAACAGCCCCAACTTTCTCAGCCTGTCTTCATACAGGAGGTGCTCCAGTCCCCTGATCATCCTCGTGGCCCTTCTCTGGACTTGCTCCAACAGTTCCATGTCCTTTTTGTGTTGAGGACACCAGAACTGTACACAATACTCCAAGTGGGGTCTCATGAGAGCAGAATAGAGGGGCAGGATCACCTCCTTTGGCTTGCTCAATATAGGGAGGAGGTAGGTAGAGGAGTTGGGAATGAAGCAGTGAAGTACTCGAGCCTGGGACAAAAGGGGTTGTGGAGGGAAAGTGTTGTAATTTTTGCCTTTGTTTCTTACCACTGAAATCTATCGGCAAAAGTCAAGTCTACTTTGCCTGTAACACTAACTGGCATGGGATCTCCCTGTCTATCTCAGCCCACAAGTTTTTTCATCATATCTTCTCCTCCTGTCTTGTTGAGCAGGGGGAGTGAGAGATCAGCTGGGTGGGAGTCTGGCAGGTGGCCAAGGTCAACTCATCACAATTGTATTCTTAAAACAGGTCAACCAGTGAAGAAATCCGACCAAGCTGTTTATCATGGCTGTTTTATTGCAGTGAGTGATCATATGCAAACACAGCTGTCAGGGCTTCATTATGTCATCTGCTTAGCTGGCTCCATGGCAGCTAGAAGAGATCATTTCCCTCACCCCATTTCCAACTGCTTTTCAAGAGCCCCTATCAGAGACAGCTTTTCTTTGTTGGCTGAACTTCCTAATTAGTTTAATGAAAATGAGCTGGGCTACCTTAAATGTCTAAAGGATTTTGCTACCCAAGCTGATTCTGACTGAAACTGGATTGGAACATACTCACACAAACAGCTCCACTGGCGTATCTGACAGGCCAGTAATTGTGAAGGGAAAGGGAGGTCAGGTAATCACAGGTCTAGGGAGGAGTGTTGGCACTGCTGCAGATGGAAGAGGCTATGTGAGCTAGTTGGACTTTGCCTTTGATTTGCCTTACCAGCCAGGTAGTCATTTCCTCTGTAGATTGAACTTCCAGATATATCAGCATGGGTGTGAGTTACCATATACTTGATTTGGGGCTGAAAAAGCCACAAGTTATTTAACAGAAAACTGAGTTTATTTTAATGGAATATTTGTTTCTAAGGTGAAAACCACAAACTTGTATCTGTGAGTTTCTGCAAGAATCTGCAATGAGTACTCAATGTTCTCCCCCTGAACATAATTATCTCAGATACATAATTATCACAAGGCTGGGAAGGAAAGGAAGTCCCTGAGAAACCTAAGTGGGAACTAACACCTCTAAAGACCAACATCACAGAAAGAAGAGGGTGCTTTCTTAACTTTTCAAGAAGAGTATAAGCAAAGATGCTTTTCTTATTTGAAAGTTACCAGTAGAGAAGAGTTGAAATGCTTTCATTGAGTCCCACTTTCTTTAAGTACTTTTCCTGTCTTTCCAACTGCCCCAGAAATTTTAGAAGTCTGTAAGACTCAACCAAGCCTTTCATTTTCCAGCGGTTGCATAGTAAAAAGATCCAAGTTAAAAGAAAAAGAACATTTTCTGAATTCCTGGAAGTAATTTGCTACCTTTTCACTTCCTATGCCTGTCATCTAGCTCAGATCACCCTGTCCAGTCTGAAAGGGATTTGGGTGGAGCTGGACTCCTATATAGTTGTTCCATAATGCTCACTCTCTTGTTAAGCTTCCGTAATTCTGTGCCATTGTTCTGAGCATAACTGGCAAATAATTTTAAAAACACAACCACCTACCCGAAAGAGCAATGACATGTGAGGAAGAAAGAGTGATGGGCTTGAAGAATAGTCTAATCTTAGTCTAGTCCTTCAGGACTAGCCAGTATTTGTTCTGCACAATCTCTCTCAGTCAAAGATTTAACAGAAGGAAAGTCGCATCTTTCACCTATCAGGGCAAGTCTCTGATGTTGCTAGAATACATGAGCCCAAGGTTTGAATTAAATTTGCCCTCATTCAATATCCCTGTGTAGATCAACATAAAGCAGTGCTTTTCTTGGGTCAATATTTTATCTGATCCTGTGGTATATTAAATTGATAGTCCAAAACAATGTTGTTATTAATCTCTGCCTCTACTGTGTCCATAGCTGCATTAAAAAAACAACATTTACTCAGTAAAAAATTTAAAGAAACAAAATTCCTAATATTATACTTGATTAGTTTTCATTCACTAAATAAACAACTGTGCAACAGAGCTTTTTTCTTTCAGATGTCTAAGTTGACAAGTTGCATAATTTAAATAAACATATTTGAGAGCTGCTTAACTCCATTTTAAGTGAATAACTTCTCCCTCACAAAACCATTCCATTTTGTTTCTAGTATCAAGGTTTAATCAGTCTCTGACTGCAGTTTTCATGTACTGTACTAACACTGTACTGATGCAGAAAAAAGTGAAAATAAAAAAAGTCCAGTGACATCCAATCAGATGTAGATGTAACATCCAAATTATTAGTGTAAGAGGCTGCAAGTGTTATTATATGAGACATTTTCCTTCCAGGTAATTGAAGAGTAAGAAAGGGTCAAACAGCAAAAACATACAGAAAGGATAAGAGAATTGAACACTCTAGAGAATTTGGTGAGAAGACACACAATACAGTACATTCAGTAAGAGTGAATGTTGAAAAACAGGACTGAACAGCATTGTTGAACTACATTGAGAAGAGACTAAAGCTAGATTTCTTATCCTTTCTTCTGGTATGTGAGTTACGGAGTTTTCCAGCAGTGCTTGAAACAAGGCATTGAACAACAGTAAACAGATTTTCTTTTTTTATTAGTACAGTGTTTAGTTCTGCAAACATCTCTGCTGCTTCAGAATACAGAACATTGTTATATCGATACGACAACAGCACGCTGACACATTGTGATGAAATTTGGTTGCTGTATCGTGAAACACCCATACTGACATTTCACCCAGTGAACAGTGTTTCACTGCTAAAGAATACACACGGCAAACCATTGCAAACTGCAGGTGTCTGTGTTTCCAAGAACAAAAGATCATCCCTGAGAAACCTGCCTGATCTAGAACTAGGAAACCCAGTGCTATGACAGTTAAGGTAACCCCATCATTAAACAACATTCAAAGAAGAACCGGTTTTCTGTTCTGTAAGCTCAGCATTAACTGAAAACACATTCTTACATGCTTCTCTGAAAAACTCCAATTCACTGCTGACAACTAAAGCCCATGTGATGCAAATCTGGTAACAACCAGCTTTAGCATATGCAACTCACTAATACATGCAAGGGAGGGATGAATTCTAGCAGTCAGTTTTGCAGTTTTCTGACTTCACTTTTTTTCCCTTTTGACAGAAACAGAGACCTCTGCTCCTCTGCAGTTTGCATGGTTCTTCATTTAAGAATAAGTGACACAAGTCAAACTCTTACCTCCTCATACACTCCAGAGCCTGGGTGAAGACCTGTGGAGCCATTCCATGTTCATGCTGTAGGATCAAACACTGCTCCAGGGTGACAGACATGGCAGTCCTATCCTTGGCACTTTTACAGCTTGTAAATCGAACACCATTTAGTCTGCGGCATATCTAGAAATGGATATACAATTCATCATTCCTTCCTCATTCATAATCTTCTGTCAGAGAACACACCTGTACTTCTCCTTAGAAAGACACAAATGTTGTGTAGGACAGATGTCAAAAGTTTTCATCTTTGAGAAAGCAGAGCTTTGTTGCATGAGTTGTAGGGAAATTACTTATGTGGAAAATACATTTTATCTCCCCATATCTTATTCTAGAGGAAGTGTAACCTGTCAACATTTCCAAGCTTTGTGCAAGCAAATGAAAAAACTGGAACATATCAGTAACAATAGAGGTGAAAATACATATGCATAAAGAAAATCAGCTCAACTATGCAGAGATGCTTAGATTAATAAATACCTCAGCAGCTTGCCAAAGGATATCAACATTCTTATTTTTCCTTGCATGTACATTTTGTCCCAGAAATCTTAACAGTTCAGGCAGGCACGTCTGACTACGAGAGCGAGGTAGACCTATAAAACAAACAAAACCGACTCCACTTACTTACCTGTATTCAACATTTCTACAAGATAATTTACGTGGAAAGTGTTCCTACATGCCTGTTGCAAATGCAGTCATGTTTTCTTGAGTCAAAGCTTGTAAGCTTTGTAATTCAATTCTTAATTACTTAGTACCACCAACAAAACAAATTCAATTCTAATTAAAATCAACTGGAAATGCACATTCATTTAAAACTTCAGGGGCTCAGAATCTGATAGCAATATAATAACAGAGTGAACAAAGGAAGTAAGACTGGTAGAAGGGTACAGGGCACAAATCTTATGAGGAGCAGCTGAGGAAACTGGGGTTGTTTAGTCTGGAGAAGAGAAGGCTCAGGGGGGACCTTATCACTCACTACAACTGCCTGAAAGGAGGCTGTAGTGAGTCTGGGGTCAGTCTCTTCTCCAAGGTAACAAGTGACAGGATAAGCAGTAACGGCCTCAAGCTGCACCAGGGGAGGTTTAGACTGGATACTGGGAAAAATTTCTTCACTGAAAGGTTTATCAAGCATTGGAACAGGTTTTCCAGGGAAATGGTGGAGTCCCCATATCTGGAATTATGCAAAAGACGTATAGAGATGGCACTTAGGGACATGGTTTAGTGGTGGACTTGAAGGTGTTAATGGTTGGACTTGATAATCTTAAAGGTCTTTTTCAGCCTAAATGATACTGTTCTATGATTAGCAATATTGTGCACATACTGGTCTGCTCTGCTTGAACTCTACACCCAGAAAGAAAGTAATACCTGCAAACAAAAACATGACACAGACCATCTCCCCAGGTATTTCTAAAGACGAGGAGCTAATGAAGCTAAGACAGTAATTCACTTAACTTAGAATTAAGAGCACAGAGGACAGTGGATCAGGAATCAACTTCCCTTCTGTAGTATCCTTGAAAGGAACATTGCCTACAACCTGCCAGAAGATGCTTCACTAGGCCTCTTCTCCCCAAGAATAGTCCATTTGGTTTTTCTTTTTCCTCTACTTACCACAGACTACATCACTGGCAGGTCGTAATAACCACCTTTCTTACAGTTAAATGTAAAATGTTATTCTCTCTTGACAAGAGTTTATGGAAAAGTGTATTTCACTTTGTACATCATAAATATTGCCCCAGAGGAGGTACAAAACACTCACAGACCTTTCTTATAACAAGCAGAGCCCCAGTTTGTCTCAGTTGTCCACAGAGCATCTCTAGCATACTTGCTGGTGAGGATACCATTATAGTTTTTTTTCCATACTTTAATCAAAACTCCTGCTAAATCTTTATAACCACAAACCATCTGTTGAAGCTGGATTGCAAAACCAGACACAGTATGTCTACATTTATCCAGGACAAACAGTGAAGCAGAAGGAAGTTTTGGCATACGGTGGGTTTTCCCTCTTTGTGGTATCCATTTCACGTGGCAGGGATCAATGTAATGACAAGTAACCAGAGTAAGGGAGAACAGGTAGATGGACATAAGACTGTCTTGTTTTCCTTCACTGTTAAGAAGCATGTTAATGCCACTGTCCAACACTGCATGCCAGCCTTATTCACAACTTCCAGTTACTTGAAGAAAAACCTTTAGTATAAGGCATGTTACTGGCAAATGGGAAACTCAAGGTCATGGCACCAGTGCTCTTTAAAAATAGAGGAAAATAAGTATAAAAGTAAAACAGTTTTAAAGACATGCAAAAGGAAGGAACAAATGACCGGGTACAAACCAGACTGCAGGGTTAAACAGAGTTTCAAGAAAAAAAAGCAAAAGCTAAAAGACTATTGGATCCACACCAGAGGTTTGGGGACAAGGGAAGGGACTGAAGTAAGAAAAAATAAAAGGCAAGCAAAATCAAAGAGGAGAGGAAGGAGCTGAATGGGAACTATTATTAAGGAAGATTAGAAAGAGAAATTAAGTAATTGAGAGAAAAGTAGAACAAAAATCACTTTAAACTGATTAACTTTTGAACTTGACAAAAAAAGTCTAATACTAGAATACTGTAAATAAAAAGTTAAATTTTCAGAGTGAAAATTTCAGAGAATTAATTGTGCAGGATTATGAATGCCTGGATAGAGGGAAACAGCTTTTGCTCTCAGCTGCATCAAAAAAAATCAAGGATAACAGGAAGTACAATAAGGTACTTTAACATCAGAATTCTTACTAACCCATTGCATGCTACTGCATTTGTATTTCTGCAATAAAACTGCAATTGTGGGACCCATGAAATTAGTTTACGGGAGGTTTGATACTAACAACAACAAATCAATGAGTTTTCTCCATGCGTGGTCACACATAAATAACATTTTTGGCACTGCCTCCAAAAACACACTAACAAGCAAGAAATTTTCATATGTAACCAGTAAAGTTCAAGTTTGTAGCTATTATCTCTCTTCCAGGTGCTAGACTTCTCTCTTGGTGGCTGCAGATGCAACTATTATAGGAAAGTGCCAAAGGATAAGCAGAGGGAAAGCGATTAAGTTCCTAAAAACAGGCAGTTTTGCTCTGTGTAGGTTACCATAAATGTAGAGAATGTGATCAAAAACTGCACATAAAAGTACTGCTGCTATAACCTGTAATTTTTATGCCTTTCCCTCACGGCAATCTAACTCCCTAGCTATATGTTTATACAGTACATAATGCCACTTAGAAAGAGATATAAAGGAAAAGTAAACTGAAAAAGGAAAGTTAATCAGACTGACCTTTAAACCTCTTGAATCTATTCTACTTAATACTGAAGTGTTAAAAGAGATTTCATGGAAATAACTAATGCAACATTTAACAACCAACATGAAGCAAAAACCAGCCTGAATTGTGCTGTTCAACCAAATTTGCCATTAATTACCAAATACTTACAATCATCAGGCAAAACTTCCTTGAACTGCTCAAAATACGAATTCAACCGCACTAAGCTTTCCATGTTAATTATTTCTTGCAGTGAAGTGTCTCCAAACCTTTAAAAGATGAAGAACGGAACAGTTAAGCCCAAGGTAAAAGGCTTCTCCTCTTCTTTGAAACACTGGCACTTGGCAATATGACTACTAGAAAACAGTTTAAAGAGTAATCCCATGAAATTCCTAACCATTCAAATGCCAAGTAAAGCATAACAGAGAAGTGTTTTAGTGATTCATTACAGAAAAAGAAAATACTTGAGTGTGAGGTGAAAAGTGGGAAGGAAGGTGAAAGAAAAATCATGTACAAAATAGTATTTAAAATCCTTTGGCTTTTGTGTATCTTTTTCAATATTAAATACCTCTCTGGTAAATCATTTCATCTAAGTTCAAACATTTAATAATGGATTTACTGGTTTAGTTCATAAGCTATTAGTAACCATAACATCAGTAGATAGGATTGAGAACTTTGACCTCAGAAATGTAAGTGAGAAATATGGATCTAGGAGTAATAAACCACGAATGTAATAAATATTGTCAACAATGCATCTCAGCTAACTATAACTACATACACAGATAAACAGACAAGAGTACTGACATCTGTAACTATGTTAGTCACATTTACAGGCAATAGAAGACAAGAGTAACTGCTGGATAACTGCTAGCTATCCCCCTCTATACAATCTACCCTGGTACCAAGGCTGCTGTCAAAACATGCATGTGCCTTATCTCACTGGAGTTCTCCATCAGAGCACTGATCTGTCACCATATTATTTACAGGATATAGCCACAGCAGAGGGAAGCTCTGGTGGCGCTTTCTCTAGCAAGTATAATTATATAATTATATATTTCAGCTTTATAAAAACAGTGTTGCATTACATAAGTACTGCAAGGAGATGTTAAAACAAAGGTCCACCTAGCCCATTATCCAGTTTTTGACAGTAGCCACAAGAGGTTGCAAAACCAAGAGGGCAAATACACAGCAATACTCAGAATGATTTATCAGTGTTTAGTGATCTGTCACTCCCAGAGGTCTAAAGTCACAAGCAGCTCCCTGCGTTAAACAGCTCATGATAGATTTCCTTGGCTGTAAATTCACTTCTGAACCACATAAACCTGCACTAGACTCAAACCCATGAGGCAAGATGCTCCACAGCTACATGCCATATAAAGAAGGACCTCCTTTTGTTTGTTTTGCACTTGACAGTTTCATTTAGTATTCCCTTGTTCTTGTACTGGAGAAACTGAATCACTGTTAGTAACGCAACACTGTGACTGCATAGAAACATTCTTCCATCAGAACAGGAGATTGCTGAGCTGCCATTAAGGTTGAGCTTGCATGACCGAATACATACTTCTCTGCTAGGGTTTGCTGCTCATTGATTCCCACGTTGAAAAGAACAGGCTGAACCCTCAATAACATGCCACTTTGAATCTCTCGCGGCAACAAATCAAACAAGGCGCTTGGCAAGGGGATCCTCACATTAAATCCATCACTGCAAAGAAATAAACAGCCATTAGACATGAAGATCAAAAAGCTACATTCTGAGAGTGTATTATTTATGGAAAGATGGATAATATCTGGAACATAATACAATTATTAAAAGAAATCTCAGTCAAAACTGAGGACTTTAAGGAACTGCCACAGGTTGTTCCTAATCAGAAAAGCTATTCTAGTTCAAAAGCAAGCCTCCACAACCTGTAGTGTTGATTTTACATTCTCATGGACATTTCAATCAGATTTTCAGTTTCCTGAACAAAGTTGATTTTGTTCTGCTCATTAATACCACAGCTCTTCTACAACTTGGGTAGAAAGAGACAAATTTTGGCATGTCCCCATCTCATAAAGAGCAAAGTATATTTGTTTTGCTTTGTTTACCGATTTCCAGTGATGACTGGCAGCATGTCAGTAGATGTATTTGATGTGGCCTGAGTTACTTTAAAGGTTACATTCCTCAAGTCCATGATTCCCAGACTCATGTCCTCCAGCATTGCCAGCTCCTCACCTAAATCATGGAAGAAAAAAGTGAATCGTAATCATTACTCATTATGTAAAACTTCCCTTTATCAATTTGACGACAACTGTAGGTCACCTCTCTCTTAAAGCTCTATGGACAAACAGGCTCTGGAGACCAGGCTTTCACCTTGACCTACAGACTGCAGACAATGTCATCATTGACTTTATGAGTTTGGGAAACACCAATTATCTAGCACAGTCCAAACTACAGTTGTTCAAGTAGATTATATATGCTGATTTTCCAATTTAGATGATGCTAGTAAGTACTCCTCTGCATTGCCACAGACATGATATCCTTTGTGTTGTAAAAGTGTGTTGGAAAAGTTACAAGATATTCCACATTTGTTCAGCAAAGCATTCCCTAACTGACATCCAGATGGCTGTACAGACACAGGACTGAAACATTTTGAACAAAGTACTATCCCTTTTTGTATTCTCTCTTTAATCTTAATTTGTGCTGTGAGATTACAGGAGGCCAAGGAAATTCAAAAAGCATTATTTTGGGCACAGTTTCTCCCAGCTTACCAAAAATTTAATCCATTTCTTTTCTGAAAAAAAGAATCACTGAGACATTTTTATATTTTTTTTTAAACCTTTGACATTACAGAATCATAGAATAGTTAGGGTTGGAATAAACCAGGTATAGTTTCTTTTTAGAAGTAATTCAATTAAATGTGAAGAACTTCAGAATTGTTAGCTAATTAAGTGCTTTAGCTATAATGTGCTTTTGCATTTCAGTTTTCAAAATCATTTTGTAGCTGAGCTGCAGCTTGTCCAAAACACTCGTATTCTGCTGTATTCTGCCAATTTAATGCAGAATTTGCTGGCTCAACAGCTAATACCACCCACTTGCCCTGTGCCTTTACCATAAGTACTCAGAAGGCTCTCAAACTGCGCCAGCAAGCCAATGGTGTAGAGCTGTCTCAGAAATCCATCATCATGCAGGCAGTTCCTCAGCTTGATAATGAAACCACAAATGAGAGCAGTCAGCTGTGGGAGAGAAAATGCACAAAAGTGAAATTATTCAAGACAAAAAAAGCTCTTCAGCCCCAAACAGAAACAACATAACATAGAAGAAGTGCCATACAATCTGTCAGACTGATGCTCTTTTCCCTTCAATGTCACTCTTCTTTCCCTTACAGCTGAAAAGAGACAACTGACCAACAAAAGCCCAAAACATTCATAAAATCAGATTTAGGCATACTGCCTTCATGTTGCAAGCTCTCCCAAAATGGGAATGCTGTTGATCTTGCATCTGTTTGTTTTCTGGATACAATGACTTGTATTAGGGTCTACAACTTATGAATTACAAAAAAGTCTCCGAGGAGAACTGTTCTAGTTACAGATGGAAAAGCACCACAGCTAGTTCCAGGCCACGGATTTTGATAGAATGAATAAATGTGTTTGTTTTTTAAATGCCATCTTAACACAGCTTTAAAATGCAGTATCTGCGTTATGCAAAGATTCCAACTCTAGTGTTACAAGATATTCAGGACAACATCCTGAAGACCCAGTACTAGATCACTACTAAGGTGTAAGATTAGTACTAATCTTAAGTCACTCTGTCAACAAAGGAATTTCCCAGGTGATTGCCATATACTATGTACACAGGTGTACAACTTTGTTACAGAATTAAATAGAAGGGAATAAAGTTCATTTTATGATGGGTAAACATAACCAAAACACCGAGTTGAAAAGTTATCTGCACTATGAAGTGGGTTTTGCATAGAAAAAATCCCTGAATTTATTTCTGTGAGACATTACATGAGACAAACAATGTCCAAGAGTTAAGATGTTTGAAATAAACGAATGAGATACTGATTTCACAGGGAAGTAGACACACTACAGAAATGTAGTGGGCAGAAGAAATGTGGAAGGCTTTTTAGTGCAGCCATCTGCTAATCAGTAAAAGAAACCCCAGCAGGCCCAGAAAGAGAACTTCTGGGGAAAAGAAACTCAGCACTCATTTCCCTCCCTGTAGCTAGACTTCTCTCCTTAGCTACTACAGGTGCTGTTGGTTTTCTCAATGCAAAAAAACAACAAAAGGTAACTGAGGGAGTACACTTTCCATCTTCTGGTTTTAGTTTGGTGGCATTAGAAGGCAAAACAGTATATAGGAAGCAGTATACTTTCACTAGTTCTGGAATAATTTTTGTTTACAATAGTGAACATATATCCAAGGGGGCATTTCAGTTATATATTGTCAAATGAATGTAAATGACCAATAAGGGCAGGATCTCCTGTGAGAAGAGATCACAGTGTTAAACCTGAGAGTAGAACAGATAAGAAAAATTCTGAAAACAGTACTCTTTCAGATTTCTTACAGACCCCACCAACATGTCAAAGTGCAATCAAATCATCCATATTTGCTTGCTTACAGTTTGGCAGAAGACAACATCCCTGCGATACTGAAGGCTCAGGCAGAGCCCTATTGTCGGGGCACTGTCCTGCATTAATAAAAAGACCATGGCTTTCTTTGCCTTGTCACTCATCATGGCTACACAGTCTGTGAGTGTTGTCAACAAGGGATAAAGAGCTTCGCTCCATTCACCTGGTTAAAAGAAAATAAAATAGCAGCACTGTAAGTACTTTATTTGAAACAAACAAACATGCATTAAGAAGAAACTTCATGTTGCAAGTTGAAGTTGTTGGTAACTCACATTTAGGGCTTGTTTTATTTTGGCTGATGGTTACTCCCTGCTTGTTATTAATCAAGTAATCTTACAGAGTGGTTACCACATGAGGAAAATATGGAGAATTCTACTCTGCAAGGCTGTTGTGACTTTCCTGACTGGAATAGCTCCCAGATTTGTGCCCACAGAACAGGCTATATAATAGTTGATTTGGAAAGCATAACAGAAACATGAATATCTATATACACAAGTGTATATAACTGTGTGTGCCTGTTCAAACATACCCTTTCATAGTGTGTCCATGGACAGACACTGTGAAGTCGATCATATAACAGAAATAGTGAACATCTGCTTAGCCATTTCTGTCAATGAGATTTCTCCCAAATATCTTGCCTTTGAATTTTTTTTGTGGACTCATAGGTGTATCATTCAACTGCCTCACCATCTTATTGATCCTTGTTGCACCTCAGTGAGGTAAGACAATGCTTATCTCTGATTTGCGACAAAGGACTAATAAGGCACAGAGGTGAAAAAATTCATGTAGGTACTCTTTTAAGTGTCCTCTGTCTGCTGAGTTGCTTTGAAGGCTTAGAGCTAGCTAGCAAGAAACACTAAGGGATTAAAATGGGAGTTAGCCAGATCACTGGACGTAGTTCAGACCTTGACTTTCACTGAAACACACAAGCTACATCCCAGAGGGACTCTGTTCAAGGTCCTAAACAAGAAGCACAGAAATGAAACTGGGTTGCCAAAGTCCTATTTTAGTATACCAAACACTGTGCCCTTCCTTTTCTCTAAGAGACTGCTCTGCCTTAAAATGCCCCACAAGCTCAGTTTCTTTTCTTTCCTTCTTTCATCTTCTGTCTTAATCAAATACCAATTAAAAAAACCCAACATTTCTATGACTGTATGAAAAGTTACTCAGATGCTATACCAAAATCCATTCTGTCTGCAACATAAAAAGAAAATAGGACAGTGCTTTGGTTTTGCCCTACTTAAGTAAGGTGAAGTTGAAACAGAAAAACACCTCTCTTTTTAAAGGGAAGGACAGTGTGTTCTATTTCTAAAAAGCACTGGAGCTCACAAACAGAACAAACACAACGCCCATTCTGATTGCCTGTAGGAACAAGGCAATGTACAGATCAGAACCTGCATGAATGGGGCACTTCAGGCCCCTGAAAGGAAGTTGTTTGGGATTTTGACTCAAATGCATGACTACGAGCTAGTAATAACGAACATTTCTTTGATAAGCAGCCAATGAGGTGAACTTTGGAAGTCTGCTAACAGAAACATAACTGACAAGATTACCAAAACTATCCTTTTTGCTTTTGTTCTGTGCAGTAGATAGATAACCTAATAAACTACACAAAGGGGAAACTGTTTGGCTCTGTTCCATTGCCAAGAAAAAAGCAGGAAACATCAAAAGAACAGGTAAGGAATTGCAGCTTGTCTTTTATATTCTACGAAGTATTTTCTCTCAAAATAAATCAGATGCCATAATATGACCCCATGAACACTTAAAAAGCAAAACACATATGATACAAACAGTGTTTCTCTTACTGCATTTAAGAGCTTTTCTATAAACAAATGAGAATGGCAAAAAGAACTGAAAATATCTTCCAGCACATCATCATCTCATTGCCTCGGTATACATATGTGTATACATGTATACTCAAGTGTGTAACTCATGTATATGAGTTTTCTCAGGGGAGATTTACAATTATAGTGCGTCTAGCAGCACTTCATTTGAAAGGTATCCTTATCTGTGGTGATCATAAAGCACACTGATGGTACACAAGCTTGTCTGAAGATAAAGCAATTATTAGATGATTTTTTTCCTCCCAACACTCACATTCAGTGCAGTGGCTCATCCAGGGTAATGAGCAAAAATCCTCTGCGCTGTGTATTCTCTTGGTTTAAGATTTTGGCCATGATAAAAACAAGCCCTTGTCAGTCTGCAAAATTCTAAATGCTTTTTTGCTACCTACGCCACAGGTGTCACCTGTGTTCTTTCAATTTTTTAGTCAATGGTAGTTTCTATCAACAGTAAACAGGAATAAAAGGAGTTGCACTCCTTGGCTCAAATTAAGTTGGAACATTTCACTGACAGCATTCAAACAAATGTCAAAGGACTCTTAAGTGCTTACCTTTCACCTTCATTTCCCTGTCCTTCTGTCTTCCCCTCATTATTTTTCTTAACAGAACTTTATTACTGAAAGAGTATTTTCTATCAAATCAACCAAGGGCACCTTCAAACACCAAGAGGCACCAGTTCTAATGTGAAATCTACTCTGAGCTTTGCTGTTATGTTCTGCGATATAAACTATTACTGACTCCACTGGATAGATCCATAGGTAGGATGATTTGGCATAGGGCCTGAAACAACAAAGATGTAACAAGGTGTTACAGATTTAAAACAGCCAGAGACCTAGTCCAAGCTAGCTGTTGGTATGTCTGGGCCACAAATCACACTTTTTTATCAGAGGTTTCTAGTTCATGTTAGAAGTTATTCCATTTAAAAACTGGCAGAGTGCAAACCAGCAGGATGCCTGTCATTTGCTTTAGGCACTTTATATTGTACAGCAAGAGAAGTCCTGCAGTTTCCACTCAGACAGCTACAACTGAATTCTGGCTGGTAAATAAGTGCCAGATGTGGCCCCATATGTCTTTGCCACTTTTCTTATGACTGCTGCTGACCAAAGTCATACTTTAATACACACTTTGAAATGCAGCATTTTGAAAAGCAGGGAGGAGAACGGCAGAGAGGGAGTGAGGGAAGAAGGAAGGGAGGGGGGGATGCTATGAGCTCACACAGTGGACCTTCTCTGACTGTACACCAAAAAAAAAAACCCAAGTGTCTTGTTTTATGCATTCTATTATGTCTAACATAATACATAAAGCTGGTATAAATCAAGGATGTAATGTCAGCTGGGAAAAGCTTTTGCCTTTTTTCCCCCCAGTTTCTCTCCTACAGAGCAACAAAAAATGTATTAAAGTAACTGTCCTCCAGAGCTCTGAAAAGATATTCTTAGTCTTTTTACATTAAAAACTGCCTAGTATCCATAAATCAAAGTACTGGCTACCCACAGTTGCCCTTGGTTTAGGTCATGGTTGCAAGGACTCATGGTATCTAAAAGAGATATTTGTTAATTAAGTGGTAGTTGCTTAGCCCTGATCAGTAAAGTATAATCAGCAACCCATTAAGCACACAATTGCATCACATTTAGCTTCAAAGGGAAGCAGGCATTAAGTGCTCCATTACAGTGCAGCTTCAGCCACTGAAGTTTAAGACGCAGTTTTGGGGATATCTGGGTACGCAGCTAGGGGGACCTAACTGCTTTTGGTGACTCCCACCTTAAAAATAAATATATAACATTCATTTATGCACTAAAAATATCGCAGAAACTAAAGGGGTGTTCTAAGAATTAAAAACCTGGGGAGTCTTTTTGTTAACTGAAAACATTTTCTCAGTGATAGGAGTCGAGTTGTGTAGCTGAGAAGAATATTTATATGAATATATTATGTGAACATATATGAATATACTTTGTGAAGATGAAAATCATACTTGAACTGGGGCTTTATTTCCTACTGGTTTCACCAATAAACCAAGCAGCCCATGCTGAAACAGTTCAAAGATTGAACTCAGATTAAACTACTCTCAAATGGCCGAAATGACACCCACCTGGCTGGGAGAGAGCAATATTACAGAGGCACATTATTCAGAACTTAGAAATGCAATGCAACTGTGTGGAAGCACAAGGACAGAGGAAAGAAGGCTAACAATGGGATAAAAGTCTCCTAAATTCTGCATCCTGAACCATTAGACTTGCAGTGCCCAATACTGCTTGGGTTGTACCCACAACAAAGATTTTCCATCAGTGTTGTTGACTGCTCCATGTTCTGCTTGAGTTCTCATTCAGAAAGGCCACCTCAACAGCACATATGAAAGGGTATGTCTGAAATGTGTGAAATGTCAGACTCCCACATACTCCAGCGTCATTTGGAACAGGCCTCAAATCATTGTCACCTTCAACAGTTTACTAAAACACATTGACTGGAGAAACCAAAGAGACCAGGAACAAGTGCTCTTACACACCTGGGCATGAGAAGTTAACAGATACCCCCTTACACTATTATTTAGGAAATGGTAACTTCTCAATATGCTTAGGTAACTCACGTGATATTGCAGAGCATTACCACTTCAATCTTAACAGCAAGGAACTTGTTGTTAATTATGAACAAACCCCTGCAATTTCAGAAGAAGCAGAAGCCATGAATGCACATACCTGGGGCAGATTCTTCCGGAGTGGGGCTGCAATCTGCACAGAAATGGAGGGGCAACATGCATGATTAAGGAGCAGCAACACGATTTAAATATAAGCAACTCAAATGCTTAACGCCAGGGTTCTCAAACACTTTCACTGAGTGAAGAGGAGCTCAGCAGAGATACCCCCTTGCCTGCAGGCACTGAGGGCATGGGCTGTCTCCTCCACTCCACTGTTTCTGATCAGAGAAATACCTGGATGGAAACTTGGAGGAAAGCCAGTACCTGCTAGCTCAGGGGATCTCTGTGGATTACCAGCAAGGGCACTGTCAACCCTCAGTGATCCACAATTTGAGAACCACTCACTGGTTTAGTGCAATTATAGAATAAGCTGGCAGCAAGGCTGATAAACAGAAAAGCAAAAGATTAGCAGTAAGTTCAATGCACTTAACAGAAAATGACATTAAAGCACCCACAAGACAAGAGTAATAAAGAAACAGTACTTTACTCTCTTGGACAAATTTCCATTATACAATTTCTGAGGTTGTTAACACAGCATCAGATTCTATATCAAGGGCTGAAACCTCACCAGTGAAGCCTGTGAGTGTTCCACACCCACTTCAGTGGGAGGAACAAGCCGTCAGATGAAAATACACTAGAGTGCAATGCAAACAGTAAAAGAAATTAATACATATACTGTTATAGCAAGTCTTGCATTAATGAAAAGTAGTTTATAAAGCTAACAGGATTTAAACTTCTGCTGTTTATATCTAGGGTCACTAGTCAATAAATTATGAACTTGAAAACAGCAACAGAAAATATCAAGTTCAATTGTATGCATTAGGACAATCAGCTGAGTTAGACAATCCCAGATTGTCTAACCTCTCAGGTTACCTCTCAGTAAATTAAAGCTCATGTTCATTAAGAAGCTGTGTGTCCCCGTGCAATTTTAGTAATGAATACCTAAGCCTATAACAAAAACAAATTTTAAAATAATTTCTGAAGTCTCCCTTCTACTATTTCAGGCAGTATTTTCTTTCACAAACATTCATTTCCAGAGTTCCTCTAAAGTCCTGCCTCTCTCTTGCCAGTTCTTAAACTGTCTTGGTTTGCTGGGTTTTATATTGCTTTCAAAAAAATTCTGGCCACTCAGTGTAATTTATTCAAAACTGGGAAAAACTAATGGAAAAAAAGTGTTAGTTCTTTGAATACATGACAAGGAAAAACTTTAAAATGTTGGGATTCTGAACACAGGGAAAGGATCTTCTTTGTCCCTCAGTTATTCCCATGATCAGCTGTGGAAAGTAACAATGAAAGGGAATTCACAGAATCATAGAATGGTTTGGGTTGGAAGGGACCTTTAATGGTCAACTAATACACCCCCCACCCCAACCCCCTCAATGAGCAGGGACAACTCCAACCAGATCAGGTTGTTTAGAACCCTGGCCTTGAATGTTTCCAGGGATGAGGCACCCACAATTCCCCTGTGCAACCTGCTCCAGTATCTCACCACCCTCATTGTGAAAGCTTCTTCCTTGTATCTAGTCTAAATCTACTCTCTTTCAGTTTAAAAGCAATTAACAGGAGACGTTTGGTGTGGAGTCAAGGGAAGTAACTCAATGGGAATATTCCCACTGATTTCAGTAAAACCAGGTTTCTTGATAGTATTAAAGTCTCTCAAAAATACATTAATTAGGAACTACATCTGATGAGAATGTAATCAAGTATTCAGCTTACCCTGGTTTACAATAAACGTCCCAAGTGCAATTCAAATTACTCATTAAGACCTACAACAGTGTTTGCACCAGATACCTCAGAAACAGGATTCCCTCTCCAGGATTTTTTAAGTTAAATTCACCCAACACTGGTTGGCAGTCAGACATCAGATCTAGTCCTTACACTTACGGAGCACTGGGAAATGGCAACATACTTGTTAGCTTTAAAGCTTGCTACACTTCCTGATTTAATGTTTGTGTTCCAGGTTCTGCGGATTAAAAGGAAAGATATTATTCATCCCTATTTGGAGAAATAGGCAGGAAAGGTTACTGAAACTCTTGGCACAAACAAAATCTTTAGTAGAAGTGCAGCTAATTCCAATTTTTGTGGCGTGTCAAGTTCTAAAGTAGATTTAAAAGTATGACTGAAAATGAAAGAAAATTATTGTTTTAAGATGCTTTCAGCATCAAATTATCTTGGCAAAAGCTTTGGTGTCACCCACCACATATTTTTCCTGTTCTTTTAAATATGAAAATCCACAACTTTTAATCATTCATATGAAGTTGCATTGAAGTTTACTGATAAAACTCCCATGTACATACGTATAAAACTTCATGTAAACTAGCCTGCAAATAAAAACATTTAAAGGTATCAAACTGATAGAAGAAATTTAGTCAAAGATTAACAGACAATGCATTCTGAAACAAGAACCAATTCTTCTGTTCCTTTATAATACACAAAAATGTCAGTCTAATCTAGAAAAACATGGTCATTTGAGATACAACGCTACACAAAAATATATTAACATTTAACTTCCTCCTTTCCCCCCCCCCCCCCCCCCCCGAAAGTATATTGCCTTCTACTGCAACACTAATAATGGGATGGACATGAAGTCACAGACACACGTAAGGGACAAAGGGCCGTCAAACAATAAGACAGAACAGGAAAAAAAAAATGAAAACACAAACTAATCTTACTAGAGTTTATCTTTGCACACCTGCTCTATTAAGTGGCCAAATCATACTGGCCACATGTAAAGAACGTAAGAATAAGCCAAATAAGTACATATGTAAATTAAATAATCCTGAAATCTAATGCATGACTGCAAAATTGTCAGCCTAAACTGATAAGGATATCTTTCATTCACATGATCATGGCATCATGCTGGATTCAATGCAGCACCCACTATACCTCAAATTTTGATAGGATTATTCCATTGAGAGCTTGCATTGCCAACTCCTATCTCCCAGCTACACAGGGTCTAACTAATTGAGTGCCTCAGCCCTACAGCTTTTGACAATTTGGGTTAAAAACTGCTTTAAAATCCTGTAGGCTCATCTGAATTCAGCTCCATCTAATGGGACTGCCTGGCTCCCCCCTATGCTATGGCAGTCCAGCTGGGACCATTAGTGTTGCCAATTGCCCTTGCACTTTTCTCATGTTTTATTTATCTTTCATAGAGATTTGATGCAATAAGCTTTGATTGCTGCAAAGAAGCTGAAGCCAACAGGAAAGCTACCAGAGGTGGTGTCTGACACATGCTAACCCAACCACCTGTTTTACCAGCTTAAAACACCCAGAGTGAAAACCAAATGCGACTGTCATCAATGGATTTGGCAATGTTTTCAGTGGGATCAGGATTTCAAAATAAGTAATGGAGCTTCGCAGCTCCCAGGACACCACCAACCCTTTCTGTGTGACATCAGTGCTTAACACCACCACTGAATTAAAAACACATGGAAGGATGTAACGCAGGCTTAGGGATGATGCCAGCACGCAGGGAGAAAGCAGCGGTGAGAAGCAGTGTCTGGCATACGCACTTGTCTTTCTGAGAGAATGGCATGCAGAGGATGGTGTGGATGGTGGTGGTGAGGATGATGAAGGTGGTGAGGATGATGAGGTCTCATTTAAATCTTCTGGATTTATCCAGTAGGCACGAGTGTCCCGATTACCTTTCTTGCTACTAGAGCTGACGTCACACTGGAAAACATCTTCACAGCTGTCACTCTGCAAGCGCTCCTTCTGGAGAAGTTTGTCCACTCTCTGTATAATACACTCCAGACTTTTGTCAACATTCAACCAAACTTTCTCCTTAAAAGAAAACATTCCTTTCTCAATTTAAAAAGAAAAGAGACACTGGGTAATAAATCCCTTGGCAACGTATTTTCTCCTGTGATTCTAGTCACAACTGCTCTGAGAAGTTTCCTCTGGGCTATCCTGTACACAATTTCTGGATATATAAATAACATATACCAGCACGTCAAGAATATGTACAAACATGACTTGCATGGCAAATTGTAAAGCTATTTTCTAAGTAAATTTGCTGAGCAATTATTTGAACTATTTCAATTTCCAGCTGGCAATATTGTTTATTCTTGAAACTCATGTTTGACATAATAATTGTATGCAATCACACATCTCTTTTCCTATATAACACAGTGAATAACAGATAAAATTACTGTATTGTATTACTATCCAAATAGCTGAATTGGCTTTCTTCATATCTCATTACTCTGAGTTTGACTATAGGTCAATGTATGCCAAAATAATTAAAATAAGGATCTATTTAAAAAATGACCTGTATCTCATTTAAAAATTGGTATTTCACAATATAGAATCATAGAATGGTTTGGGTTGGAAAGGACCTTAAGATCATCTAATTCCAACCCCCCTGCCAGGGGCAGGGATAACTCACACTAAACCATGTCACCCAAGGCTTTGTCCAACCTGCCAGGAATGGGGCATTCATTATATATATATATATATATAGATAGATATATAATTGTTTTCATGAATTTCAACAATTTTTGAGATTTCATTAACTTCTTTTTGTATTATACAGTGACAGAATCTAAGCAGCCAAATTCTTATTTCAGTTGGCAGCGTGGTGAGGAAAACCATTTAAATACTTTGTTCAAGCAGTATTAAAATGGTGTTCATAATTAAAACAGAGTTGGACTGCAAGTTCTAAATATTTAGATGAGAATAAAAACCAGGAAGGCTGAATTGGATAGCTAATGCACACAAATTATGCTTTATTTTGGAGAACTGTAAATACCCTTTGTAATAGAGTCAGGTTTTTACTTTAAAAGCTATTTACTTTCCCTTGGAACTGACTTCAGAAATGCCATTCACCTACTGTAATGATTTCCACTGTTTAGGAAATGTGGAAATATTATTAAGGCCTGTTTCTATCCCCCTGCCAAGGAGTAACAGAGCACAGGACAGTCAATGTCTTTGCTAGTTGACCAGTACCTCTAAACCACTTGCCCAATGTGTATCTGGTGAGCAATTAAAGAGCTTATAGACAAAAGAACACAGCAATACAGCAATCAAAAAATAAAAAGAAGAAAATATTCATCCCTCCACTAAGCAAACATACCCATTCCTCTTCATGCCAATCCACCTGCAGAGAAGATCGGCTATTTCTTCCTGTCCATCTGGCCACAAGCGTATCTTGATCATTCCTCAACATCACTTGCTCCCCTTCTCCAGAGGTTGGAGATGCTTTTGAAGCTATGTAGTCTGGCCTTGCAGCATTCAGTCCATGTATTGAATTTGCTAACAACTTGCAGTCACAGACTGTGACAAGTTGCCGGGTCTAAAAAGTAATAAACCCCACACATTTTAACTATTTTTCATTATTCGATACACCATTTATACTATATTCTTTCACAGAAAGAAAAAAGAACTAGTATTCTGTAAAAGAAAGTAACCATTGTTTAGGAGTCCCTAAGGTGCCTTTGCAATCATTTAACTGAATGGCTTTAAAAAGCAATATAGGACACCCAAACACAAATGGTACATTTCCAAAGTCGTATTACTGTATTAGCCTTGCAGCAGTTGAAAATCTCACAAAGTGTGCTGTTCATCTTTATTTGCACCTCACTCTTCATTAGACAAAAGCTTAGAACAATGTGCAGACAATTTTATAGCGTATACAATAGTTGCCACACCAAAAACCATGTTTAGACCTCCACCACGCTGTCTGAAATCATAACAAGACATAAGAGGAGGACTAAAAATATAACCCACCAGTCAATGCAACTTGTTCCCTTATTTAGTGGTGTTGTATTAAAGAATTTCTATAAGTTATGTGAATATGAAAAGTATCTGGTCTGCGCATCTACTAAGATAACTACAAACAAGCCCTTACTACATTATATATACATGTTGTCCAGCTGTTGAAAAACCCACAGATCAGTTATACACACTGTACTCATTTGGAGCAAATATAATACATAATACATTTACATGGGGTCACACTGTATTTTGCACTCTACAAAGCTGTATGCATATCCCTTCCACTGGGACAATTTATGGCAAACTGTTCGGCCATTACTGCTATTCAACAGCCTTCAGATCTGTTTCAGGGATAGAAAACATCAGTGTAACAGTATTTGGGTTTTTTTGTCCCTGTAAATAAGACCATGTTCAGTTGTGGGTCTAGTCTGGTTTCTGTTAGCATTCATCAAGAAATAACTGATTCACATCACTATAATTCAAGCAAAGGCTGTGTCACCATTATTCCTTATTTTGCCAGTGGAAAAATACAGAATTGTTTCATTAACTTTTGCCCAGTAGCTGCTGCTTGACAGATGATTTGGAGGAACATTACAAAACCCCAGGTGGTTATGCAGAAAAGAGTATAAAAGAAAGTGAAGAATGCACATTTCTGGAATATGATGAATGGAGTGAACCAGAGGACATTGCTCTCCACTGCACTCCCAAGAAGAGGTGAAGGGAAGCGTGTGAAAAGTAACAGACAACCTAAATAAAAAGCAGCAGATTGTAAAGCCTAGTCTGACTTTGCTTTTTCTTTAGGCCTGTACACATTACAATACACTACCGAACAAGGTAAAACAGGTATTTCAAGAAAACCCACTACAGACAGAGAAAAAAAATACCCTGTGTTTTAGTGTGGAAATGCATTATTCTCCTACCTTGTCTGCTAGGATGGCAAGTGTTCTTTCAAGGCCATTAGCTGATCTATCCTTGGCAGCTCTTGAGAGCCTTTCTGCATAGTAACTGACTTGCGTTTTCAGGGTGTTGATTTGTGCAATAATTTCCTTTGCTCTGACAATGTCCTGTGGGATGTATATTATAGACTGGGAACTTGTTGAAGTGCTGAAAAAGAAAGACTGATGTTACGGAGAAAACTGATCTAGAGGAACACACATTACAGTGGCATGCTGGGGAATTAATGGCAGACAACGAAAATTTACCTAAACTAGCAATCAACAGTGAAAGGCCAGTGGGCAATTGCACAGCAGGAACATGATCCTAGAGCCTTCTCTGACTTTACTGAAAGCATTCAGATGAAGATTTACTAATCCCTTATGCCAAAGGGTTGTGGGCAGAGTTTGTATACCAGAGGGACAGTTTTGCTGAGGAGAATGTGGGTGATAGATCTTGCCATCGGATACAGAATTACTGTTAGCCGAGACAGCTTACCCCATTCTCCCTCTCCTTATCACACAGACACTTCAATGGGGCCTGTTTTATAAACCTGTTTTATCACGTATCTACTAGGGCTATGAAAAGAAAATCTGCACTCCTAACACAGAAGTGCCACCAGATCCATAATGCAAACACTGTGGTATTAACAAAAAATCCTTGCTAGTGTACCTTTTCCCTTGTTGCAGGCCTGATTCAAGTTACACCAGCAAAAGCAATCTTATGATATATAAAAACAAAGTGTATCTCCAGACTAACCCAAGGACTCTGCCCTTGGTGCACCTTCTGTTAGCACACACTTCTTATACTAAACTAGGGACATGATATAACTGTCCCTACTATAAACTCAGCTGTAACAATGTAAAGCAGTACCAAATTTTGGCCTCTTCCAAATAGTAAGGGTAATAAACTATAGTTTATGTCCTCTAAATTTAGATGTCTACAGAAGTTGCTTACAAGACAGACGCTTGGACTCCCTCTGTGAAGAATAGCTCTTCTAAAGGGTGATTTAATCCTACCAGAGAAGAACCTTTTACAAAAGCTGTCTTTTAGCTTAGAAAATGGCTTTAAACTGAAGTTGTGCTCTTAGTTAACTATTTGGAACCAACCCACCACTATTCTCCTTGCCAAGCAGTATGCTGGTTTTATCCTCCCAATAGGAAAGCTATAAAAAGATCAGGCCTTTACATCAGCTCCAGCTGTAACAAGTGTGATGTCCTTTTATGACATGGCATGATAATACACCAATGGTATAGTATCTTAATTTTATTAATTTATTTCCAGTAATGAATGGCTTCAGCATAGTGACAGCAGAGAATAACCTACTGCTTGCACCACTCTCAGCACTGGTCAATTGACACAGCTACAAGACTACATAGGGAGGAGTTTCTTTTCCAGGCACAGTTACCTCAGATCATGACCTCTGAGGAGTAGGAATTTCCCTACTACCCCCTAGAGCAATGCTGTTAATTTCTGTAGTGTATCTGTGAGATAAGACAGGAGGGTTCTGTGGGGCACGCTTTAAAATCATCACCACAAATACCAATTCGCATCCCTTAGCTAATATTAAGGCAAGGGTGAAGCTTAATCCCAGTATCTGTCTGACCTCCATTATAAGAATAGATGAGGGATTTGTTCTCAAAGGATATAATGCATAAGTGATTCCTGAAAGGTTCCTTATTTGTGTCCCTCTGGTCACCCACCTGAGTGGAGCAGAGAACCACTCCCCAGTACTGCTACACCATACAGTAAATTCATCTCAGCTTTTAGGACTTGTTGCATACATGATTTATGCTTTTTATTGACTGGTGATGTTAGTGACAATTCCTCTGAGCAATTTCTTTCCACGACAGTGTGGCTAACATGCATAAAGACGTATTTGGCAGGAAAGGCCATGCAGCATATTGAGATCTGATTTAGAATTATTACATTTTTAATCACAAACATTTGCTGGGATGATCAGGGGTAAAATTTCTGGTGTAAAATTTACATATATTTACTTTCCAACCTGCAACTGCGTTTTCAAATGAACAGCTCTCATTGTACTGTATCAGCAAACTGTAACACAGCCTTAACTCCCAGTGAATTAGGGGTTCAACCTCTAATACAAGTAATTTAGAGCAGAAATTCTGCACTGTTGAACCATCAAGTAATGTTTCCTTTTTGTAGCACTGAACACCACAACATGAAGACAAATAAACAGAATTTAAGTGAAAATGTTTAAATGAAGACATGGGTTGCAAAAATATAAACCATGCCCAATTTATCACCATAAAGATTAAAAAATACATAGAGTTATCTGAATTATCTTCCATCTCTGGTAGTAAGTTTCTCTCTCCAGGTAGTTTTCACTGGAAATAACAGAGGAAAAGATATAAAATTGTGTTCTGATCCACAGCTTTCTAACTTATGCTTGGAGAGAGCCAAGAAGCTTGCTGTTCATTACAAACAAACATTGCAGATGAAATGAAATTCATTCACACATCATGTTCCACAAAGCAGCTACAACTACTTAGGCACAATTAGGGATGCCATGATGCATGACATTAAAAAGCCCTCCACACTTTAAAACACACCACATCTTTGCCAAAAAAAAACAAAAACAAAAACAACAAAGAAGGAAAAGAAAAATAAAAGAACCCAAAGAACAGAAACCCTCTCTACAGAACTCTCAGAAACAGAAAACTCACCAACACTCCTCATAACTGCTAAAAAAACAGAAAACCAAAATAAAATTAGCAGATTGTTAGCAAATACCAAAGCAGAAAACAAAAGATGTTTGGGGAAATATCTTATTTGAGTCATCTTTTCAACAAGGTGGGTACATAATGATTAAACTTGTAAGCAAAAAACCCACAGATTGCCAGATGCCCGTGCGTTGTTCTGGGGAAATGTGGATGCATCAAGCACAGTTTTGCCAATGAAAAAAGAAAGAACTGAATGATACCTATGTAACAGTGCAACTGAGGAGATGGATCTCAGTTCTACTATACCAACTTTTATGATAACACAGAAGTATTTAAAAGAAAATATATTCTTTAATTACTGAACCTCGGTCCATTGTCATAGACCCAGAAGTAGCAATTCTGTAAAGCTTAGAGGAAAAGTACTGAATAGAAATTAAGCTCTTTGACCAGCTTAGTTACTCTGGGGTGGGGGAAATGGAAATTAGGTATTGCAGGAATAAGGACCATTTCAGTTGCTAAACTCACAGAAGGATTTTATTTCAGAAAGCAATTTCAGTGATATCAAAAGAATAGTATAGCAGTGCTTCCAGTTTACAGTTTCCTGCATATTTTTGCACCTATCTTTTTATCAGTACGTATCTGACTGATGTTCACAGGATGCTGCTATTTACTTCTCTGCTGCCAAAATGAATTCTGCAGTTGGCAGACCCTGGTTCCCATGTTACTCCCTCCCCCCATCAGCTCCAAATCCTACAAATCCTCTCTTTGGAAGGGCATTATCAAAGTCTCCTTTTTCCTGTCTGCAATGTCCTTGTCCTGCTGCTCTCATTGTTCCTTAAATTCTCCATGCTGCAGCACAAGTACTGCAGATCCAGACAGCATTAGCTCTTCCTTGAGAGCTGAAGTGGGTGCCATGTAGGTCTCTCCCTTTAGCATATGTGACATGTCCAATTTCTGCCCCTTCCTCTAATATATATGGTTGCACTTCCAGAGAGGTCACTAGAAAAGTGCCTGAAGACACGACTGTGGAGGTCAAGCATCCTGCCTGCAGAGCAGAGTGAGGCCAGGTTCAGAAGCCTAATCTGTGCATAAATCTGTGCAGAAAAGCCTCCAGCAATAATCCCAGAACTAAATCCAAGTTGTCAAAAGGGAATCTGCCTGTCAGGCACAGCTGTACTATGCCTGCTGTACTATTAGCTGTACTAAAAAGAGTTCAGTGACAGAACTTTAAAGCTATGAGAGGTCTGAAAGTCTCCTGCAAATAATGGGTTGAAAGCACAAGGTAGTGCAGCTGACGATGTTCTACATTTTTCTAGTCCACAATTAGGCAGTACACAATACCTAAACCAGCTAAACTAAATGAAGTAACAAGTATTTGGGAAAATTCATGATTTCACTAAAAAGACTATCAGAAAGGGCCCATCAGTAAGCAAACAAATAAAACAAATATGGTAGTATAAGGGGGAAACTGTTTTCCTTCTTCCTTTTGGGAAAAAAACATGGAATAATCTTTACATTGTATAGTAGAACCATTGAATGAAGTGCAACAAAACCATAGAATGAAGTCATTTTCCAAATCACTGAGCGTGGACCAGGACTAAAAGTCACAATAATAGTTGACACAACATTTCTACTTACTGTTTCTTTGCCTCTTCAAATTTATGCAGCTTTTTCCGCAAGCCACCTGATTTAAAGCCTTGACAATGAGCTGCTGGTGCTCCTATGGTGACTATGTCGTAGTTCTGATCTGGGATGGACAAAAAGGACTTACGGATGAAAGCCTGTAATCTTTAATGTGGACAAATAATTGTGGAAATTTAAAAACTACTCTGAAAGTAATTTTTGTAAAACTTTCTGCCTGTGTTTTGAAGGACATGGAAAACTGAATTGGTTTAGATGTCCTGGAAATCCATCAGGTACTTTTGAGGCGAAAGAACCATACTTGAATGCAGGCCCTCTGTTTCTTAATCTAGAAGACTGACAGTGAAAAGCAAAGACTTGAACACTGGTCTTTATACAAAGCCTGCCATTACTGGAATCCCTCATATGGATGCATGGAACAAGTGTGTGCCCCCTGGTTAGTAAGAATTACTGTTAAAAGAAGGGAAAACAAGGTTATATATGAAGAAATAAGCTTGATGTGAACAAGCTGCTGTGATTCTGCAGAAGTGGTTCCAGAGACAAAGCACACATCCTTGACAAGAAACAAATCGGAACCTTTGCTATTCTGCTACAATTCAAAATGACTGGAAGAGACATAGCAGCTTAACCCAATGCATTCTTTCATATAAAGGCTGACTTGTGTCACCTAGGGTACAGTTAACTCCAGAGCTTAGTTTTGCCACCTGTATAATAGCAATAATTATACTTACACCTATTCTTTTGGAGAGATTTGGAATCTGAGGATAGAAGGTGCCACAAAAATGCCAAGTAGTACTAGTACTACAGAGCAGTAGTTTGTAGAAACTTGGCTGTACGGTTGAGGAAGGAAATGAAAAAAGAAAAAAGGAGAGAAAAGTAACAAAATAAGGTAAAGAAAGACAGAAAGAAAAAATACCTGATCCTCCATCATCCTGGACTCTCATTCTCTGTATGTGTAAATTCGTAGGAACAAATTCCAATTTTTTATCAGCTTTCAAGCTACTGGCTTTAAATGAAGGACCTGAGAAATGCAGGAGAAAAGTAAGCATAAAACCCCTCTGCTTCTGCTTATGCTAAAACATTCAAGGAGTGTCATTCACCATTTGCTACATGCTGAAAGTAAAACAGAGAAAAGAAAGAAAAAAGATGTATCTTTCTGTTACAGGTCATAATTGTTCTGTACTTTCAGGGTAAAATAAGAGCATGAATAAAGCAGACAAGTATCTCAGATGATTAGCAAACTCACAATAAATGTTAATGAAGAAATCTAATAATAGCATTTTTTACTTATCAAACTAAGACATTCTGGATTGCCAATTTCAGAGAAGCACTAACAATCACAGCTGTGAAATATCACATTATTATGAAAAAGAAATCACCTTTATACTGGTGCAGATCAGTTAGATTTTCCTGATAAGTTAAAATAATTGTCTGGTACTGAGTGACTATTTGTCGACGAAGGCTTTCCCAACAAGGAGACAGTTCTCCCAGTTCTTCCAGTTCACAAACCCTAGGCGGAGAGAAGAGAAATAAATAAAAAAGAAAAGGAAAAAGAGAGGTGTTCAGTTCTATAGTCCTCTTGACCAATGGGTTTCACTTTGTACCAATGTAGCACCATCCTCTGCTGATGCATTCTCAATTCACTCTCACCAGACTGAGAATGCTTCCAAAAATAAGCCCCAAAGAACAGCTGTTGGAGCTCTACTTATAGATTCCTCACAGGCAGAATACACTGAATTCCCCTCAGCAGACTCAGGTGTTGGTCAAAACCAAAGCTTCCTACCTTTCTGCAGGAGCTCCCAAACTATATGAAGATCTGCAAATGATGGGCACTGTCATCATGTCAGGTGACCTGGGACAATGAGGGACCTTTTTAGGCAACTCCACTGAACTTCAATGGCTCTCAAATTAAATCAGGACTGTGACAGAAGTTAGGTGGGAGGTTAGCACCTGTCTGACATTAGATACAAGGAGTATTTTCCTTGGCCAGGTATCTACACAACAGTTTCCAAGGCCAGGCCAGGAAGGTCTAAGAAGTATAAGCATGAATAAAGGGTTTGGAGAGACAAAAGATAAACCAGCAAAACTTTCATCTGAGATTCAGGAATTTAGGTTTTACTGCAAGTGGAATAAAGGGCAACTGGATACACCTAGAATGAACAGAAACCTCCCTGGCTTTCCATGGCAACCTGACTGCTAGGTTTTCAGTCACACATGGCAATCTTGTGTTATATTCTGTTCCCCGACAGCACTGCTGAGGAAATATTCAGTGTATTTCACATCATGCTTGTATTACTGTCTTCTTGGATTAAGATATTATTTGGAATAAAGCAAGAAGGCGAAAAGTAAACAAGTCAATGCCAGACACAGTTCAACAGCACATTACCCAGAAAAGGTAGAACAATCACCTACAAAAAGGATCCTGCAGGTTTTTTTGCAGTTCTCAGTATCCTTAATCCACAGTTTTAATCAATTGTATATAGTTTAAGACAGCATTTCATAGAATCATAGAATAGTTAGGGTTGGAAAGGACCTTAAGATCATCTAGTTCCAACCCCCCTGCCATGGGCAGGGACACCTCACACTAAACCGTATCACCCAAGGCCTTGTCCAACCTGGTCTTGAACACTGCCAGGGATGGAGGAGCATTCACAACCTCCCTGGGCAACCTATTCTAGTTCCTCACCACCCTAACAGGAAAGAATTTCCTCCTTATATCCAATCTCACAGAACAATTCTCACTGCACAATATTTAGGATATTAATAAAAGGAAGAAAAATTCCAAGAAAAACTCCAGATTGATTAGCCAATAGGCAACAGTGTAAACTGTATTTATTAGTGACTTAGAGAAAGACATGAACAGTTTCATCTTGTAAACTGCTTTGGCATAAGATGCTATTATGACTACCTTGACAAACTCCCTGCTCAAAACTAACTATGCATCTGAGTCCAGGTCTTCCTGAAGTAAATTCATAGCTTAAGACTTCAAGTTTACTTCTTTGTCCCATGGGGCTGAGGCAGCAGGGGATGTGTCTGCCATAATTAGGTAGTCAAAATATCCCCCTTGGTTAGATGTTTCCTTTCGAAGAGCTCTGACCCAGAAAAGCTTTATGTAGGAGACAGCAGTCATGATTATCCAAGGACATTTTAAAAGTCACCAGTATATTAAGAGAGAAGCAGCTGTGCTTGTGTAGCTGAATTCCTCTGGGCTGCAGCACAGAGTGTGGAGAAAACAAGAATGCTTGGCCAAATCTGAGAGATCCTATGAATACAGAGTGTGGCTGTGCATGTCGTAGAGTGTGTCACTTCAACTGTACAGGGAGAAGTGAGTCTTTCTCTTCAATTACACGAAAGTCATACTTACCTTTGTGCCAAGTAATTCAGCACATACAAAGTGGTACTAGCAATCACCTGGGCTGTTATTAACCCATAACTGTATAAAATATGTAACCAGTCTCTGCATGATTTTAGCAAGAGCCTCTGAACAGTCACATTCCGTGGCTAATACCTTAAGAAACTTCACTGCCCGCAGCCTTACAGAAAGCCACATCTTTTTTCCCCATTCACCCTAAATTCTCCTCTTACTATCTTCAAGTCATTAAACTACATCCATCATAGATGGCACCTTATGGGCATTCTTGTCAACTCTTTAGATTCTTATAGCTGTACTTCAAAATGAATAGGTGGTTTTAAATGTACTGTGAGGAAACCTGTACAGAAACAAAGATATAAAACAATGAATAACCCATGTCTAAATGTGTAATGGCATATCCCAAGCCTTCTCCAACAAGGTTGTAGCAGGACAGCTAGAAAAGATACAGCATTCACTCTCTAGAGTCTAAGTTCTGACTACTCTGAGAGAGCTGGGGTTGTTCAGCCTAGGGAAGAGAAGACTCCAGGGATACCTTTGAGCAGCTTCCAGTGCCTAAAGGGGGCTTACTGTCGAGAGGTGGAGAGGGACTTACTACAAGGGCATGTAGTCACAGGACAAGGGGCAATGGCTTTAAACTGAAAGAGGAGAGATTTAGATTAGATATTAGAAAAAAATTTTCACTGTGAGGGTGGTGAGGCCCTGGCACAGGTTGCCCAGAGAAATTGTGGCTGCCCCATCCCTGGCAGTGTTCAAGGCCAGGCTGGATGGGGCTTTGAGCAGCCTTATCTAGTAGAAGGTGTCCCTGCCTGTGGCAAGAGGGATGGAACTGGATGATCTTTAAGGTCCCTTCCAACCTAAACACTTCTATGATTCTATAATACAGATAATTATATATATAAAAAGATAATGTATTCTAATGTTATGGACCTAATACAGTCACATGAATATGGAATATCTCTTCTGTGGTCTTAACAATACTTTTGTGAGAGGAACAGATAACACATAAATGCAGCTAACTGCAGTGTGATCCTAAGTGTTCACTATTCCAACAATGCCACTGTATGCTCATGTTACCATAGACTCAAGCCAAAAGTCTATACTCTGACATGAAATCTTAATCCACTCTAACTGTACAGTCAGCAACTTGCTGCTTTTACTAATTTTAGTTCAGTGCCTCTGTCCATTAACACAGATATATTTCTTGGTAACTCAGGAACAGTCGTATCACTGCTGTATGTAAACTGGCCTGAACTTACCTTGCAGCATCTTCTTCTAGAAGAAGCTTCACAAATTGCCTAGGGATGTGTAGTGACAGGACGCTCTCCGCCATCTGCTCCAAGATTCTCAAATGGTTTCCATCAGTGGTTGGGAAGCGATACATTCGGCAAATGGCACCACCAAACACTGAAGAATTAAAATCATGTTATTTAAGTTTAAGGTGTACAAAGCCTCTCCTTTTCTAAAGTAAAAGGCTTCAAATCACTAATGTGCTGTAACACACTGCTGTAAAGATCTGGTTTAAGCAGGCATCAGTTCCAACTTTTCCAAGTACAGACAGTCTGCAGTGACCATTCTCCCAGTGTTTGTGGGAAAAGCCTCCAAATTATTTAAAACACTAGGAAATACTAGCAAATTGCATGGAAAATTTTATACTACAGTCAACTTACTGACATAAGTTTGCTTCTGCTGGTTTTACTCTACAATACAGTGCAAATGACAAAATAATTTATTCTTGTATGACCCTCAAAGGGCTGCTCAATCAGCAGCCTGCTTCTATTCAAATAAAACATCTGCTTAAACACCCTGGAGCCACAGGCAGACAACAAGAGATTAACTTTTACTGATGCCCAAAGCTTACTTGTTACAGCACACAGCAGCTTACCAGATTTCAGTAGTGCATCTTTCCGTAATGAAGCATATTTGGATCTGATTCCTAAAGATTCTGTTAAACTTTCATCAACTGGCAACACAGTCTAAAGAAAAAGAAAACCCAGAGCAGTAAAGAATAAAACCTAAGTGTCAGGGCAATATACCTGTGATGACCCTATTTACACAGACTTGAAAGGAGTATTAAAAGCAACACATGGTTAAAATAAATATTTCAAATATATTTACTGTGGACAAAAAATACTGCAGGCTGAAACAATAAATATACCTAAACCCTCCAATCTAAGCATTTCTATTTACTTCTACTACACAGTTCAAAAAGCTGTAAAACTTTCCATCCAGCCCTTCACGATTACTTTATGTTAGCATAGCTCCAGAGTCCTTAAAGGTACTGCACCAACATATGTAGCTACAGCTACAAAGTGATACTAATGCACACTGTGACTATGATACACAGATAGGAGTGCAACGATCACCAGGATACTCAGAACACAAGGTTTACAGACTTAAACACATGCCTAGGCTGAGAAAGCACTATAAATGTCTGCTCTCAGACAAATATTTGGGGCGTCAGAAAAAAGAATAAAATCCAATATTCAAATAACTTGTTCAGTTTTATTAAAATTTTTAAGTTGCCTGTGGAAATTCTGGGTATTTCCTGAGCAACCCCATTACAGCTTGCTTAATGCCCCCTTTCAATTCTAAGTGTGAACTGGAATAGCACATCTTTGTGAAGCTGGTTATCAATGTGCTAAGTGCACCAGCGTACAGTACCACAAGCCTATTCTGATGAAAGGCACAAGTACCTGAAACTAAGGCCTAATCATTGGAAATTAAAATTTTCCTCAAGACTTTCACCCCCAAACATGAGCACCAAGAGCTCTGCAAAATACAAAACCACTTTATCACCATTAGACTGACATTTACAGTATTTTGCAATTATAAAGCCCTACTAAACTTAAAGATGGATGGCAGACATCAACCTAGTTTACTTCAATGCTGGCAATAAATCTGCATTTTTCTGAACTTGTTACAATGCTCATACTCACCCTTCCATTAATTGTATCAGGTGACCTTGTCACTGGAGGCCTTTGGTCAGTTTTTTCCTCCATTTGCCATCCAATAACTGTAATGTTACCTACACGGTCACTTTCAGCCGACCTGCAACAAACACTCTGCGTTGAGATTTTTTTGGAGGTGGACCTGTTTATCAACAAGGGAACACTTATAAAAGGCTATTAATCTTCAAACTTAATGAACATTTTAAATAGGAAGCTTTTCAACTTCATTGAACATATACATGTTTTTATAACATATTATTCCAACAGCAAAATGCTCTCTTCATTCTGCAGGGATGCTGTACAGACCTCCTAATTGAAGGCAACCTAAAATCATGCATGTGTGCCAATTCTTCAGAAGACCTATGACTTACAGTAAGTCTGGCAGAGACTTTATGTTATTATTTTAAGATAAATTCTAATTGTATTTTAAGACTGTTGTTTACATGTAAAAATATGCTTGGACAGCTAGCAAAAAAAAAAAGTCTCTGGAACAGACAATACTGGGAAGGCAAAAAAATAAGCACACAGGATGACTACAAGAAAAAGTTTATGCAACATATTTGTAGATCATGCTCAGCATCCAGCTCATACATCTGAGAGGTAACATGACAATGAGAAGGCAAGCATGTATTCGCACACTTTGATAATCAGAATGTACTTGATATCAAAACAAACAGAGTTTAATAAAGTCCATTTTCAACTTAGTTATGAAAGAATAAACCTAGCAGAATAACCTTGTCTAAAACACAAACCATCAACTCCTGCCATCACATTCCTCTTTCTCACTCCCTCAAAACACACTCATCTTCACACCTATGATAAATTTTAGCCAACGTCATACTTCTCATGCCTCTTCTGACTCGTTCATCCCCCCTGTTAAATCATATAATTTTAAATACTTAACATTTAAGTCATGTCAAATAATTTTTTCTTTACAACTCATTGTGAAAAAAGCTGAAAACCTTACCCATCTCTTCTCTTAGCTTTGCCCATGTTTTGACAGTTGTATCTGGGCTAAGAAATTTCTGCAAGTTTATCAGTTTCTAGTGTTGATTATGCAGATACTACCAACAGCATCTTCCTCAGTCTTTCTGATTATGTTTTCCCCCTTCGACTGACTTCCCCTTGCCTTCTCTAACGTGGATGCCTGTCCTATTTTTAACACATACTACAATGTGCCTTTACACATCAGAGCTCTCCTTCCTTAATCTTACTTTGCTGTCTTTATTTTTCTCCAACCCTCTACTTAACTGTGTCCCACAGGGGCTTTCAAGAGTATGATCACAGTATCACAGTATGCTAGAGATTGGAAGGGACCTCAAAAGATCATCTCGTCCAATCCCCCTGCCAGAGCAGGAACACCTAGATAATGTTACACAGGAATGTGTCCAGGCGGGTTTTGAATGTCTCCAGGGAAGGAGACTCCACAACCTCCCTGGGCAGCCTGTTCCAGTGTTCCGTCACCCTCACTGAGAAGAAGTTTCTTCTCAAGTTTAAGTGGAACCTCTTGTGTTCCAGTTTGTACCCATTACCCCTTGTCCTATCATTGTTTGCCACTGAGTAGAGCCTGGCTCCATCCTCGTGACACTCCCCCTTTATATATTTATAGACACTAATAAGGTCACCCCTCAGTCTCCTCTTCTCTAAACTATAGAGACCCAGCTCCCTCAGTCTTTCCTCATAAGGGAGATGCTCCACTCCCTTAATCATCTTAGTTGCCCTGCGCTGGACTCTCTCCAGCAGCTCCCTGTCCTTCTTGAACTGAGGGGCCCAGAACTGGACACAATATTCCAGATGCGGTCTCACCAGGGCAGAGTAGAGGGGAAGGAGGACCTCTCTCGACCTACTAACTACCCCCCTTCTAATACACCCCAGGATGCCATTGGCCTTCTTGGCCACAAGGGCACAGTGTTGGCTCACGGTCATCCTGTCGTCCACTAGGACCCCCAGGTCCCTCTCCCCTACACTGCTCTCTAACAGGTCGTTCCCCAACCTATACTGGAACGTGGGGTTGTTCCTGCCCAGATGCAGGACTCTACACTTTCCCTTGTTATATTTCATCAAGTTACTCCCTGCCCAACTCTCCAGCCTGTCCAGGTCTCGCTGGATGGCAGCACAGCCTTCTGGCGTGTCAGCCACTCCTCCCAGCTTAGTGTCATCAGCAAACTTGCTGATAGTACACTCAATTCCCTCATCTAAATCATTGATGAATATATTAAATAATACCAGTCCCAGTACTGACCCTTGAGGCACTCCACTAGTTACAGGCCTCCAACTAGACTCAACCCCATAGACTACAACTCTCTGGCTTCTCTCCTTCAGCCAGTTCACAGTCCACCTCGTTACCTGATCATCCAGTCCACACTTCCTCAATTTAGCTGTGAGGATGCTGTGGGAGACTGTGTCAAATGCTTTGCTGAAGTCAAGGTAGACCACATCCTCCGCTCTGCCATCATCCATCCACCGTGTTATTTCCTCATAAAAGGCTAAGAGATTGGTCAAGCATGATTTCCCCTTGGTGAAGCCATGTTGACTGCCCCTCATAACCCTCTTATCCTTGATATGCCTTAAGATGGCACCAAGGATAAGGTGTTCCATCACTTTCCCAGGGATGGAGGTGAGGCTGACCGGTCTATAGTTACCCGGGTCCTCCTTCTTGCCCTTTTTGAAGACTGGAGTGACATTTGCTTTCCTCCAGTCCTCAGGCACCTCTCCCGTTTCCCAAGACTTGGTAAAGATGATGGAGAGTGGTCTAGCAATGACTTCCGCCAGTTCCCTCAGCACCCGCGGGTGCATCCCATCTGGACCCATGGATTTATGGACGTCCAGATTGCTCAACTGATCTCTAACCCATTCCTCATCGACTAAGGCAAACTGCTCCGTTGACCTGACTTCGTCTAAGGTCTCAGGGGTACAGGGCTCTTCAGGACTGCCTGCAGCAGAGCAGACAGAGACAAAGAAGGCATTCAGTAACTCTGCCATCTCTGTATCTTCTGTCACCAGGGCACCCATCCCGTTCATCAGCGGGCCTACATTGCCTCTGGTGTTAGTTTTGTCTGCCATGTATTTGAAAAAGCTCTTTTTGCTGTCCTTGACCCTTCTTGCCAGGTTTAATTCTAAGGAGGCCTTAGTCCTCCTAGCTGCCTTCCTACATCCTCTAGCAGCAGCCTTATATTCCTCCCAAGTGGCCAGCCCCTCCTTCCATGACCTGTAAACTCTCCTCTTCCACTTGAGCATACCCAGCAATTCCCTATTTAGCCACGCAGGTCTCCTGGCCCTCTTCCTTGACTTCCTACGTGTCGGGATGCTCCGATCTTGAGCTCGGAAAAAGCAATCCTTGAATGTCAACCAACTATCTTGGGCCCCTTTACCTTCAAAGGGCCTTGCCCATGGGATTTCCCCTAGCAATTGCTTGAAAAGGCCAAAGTTTGCCCTGCTAAAGTCCAGGGTTGCAATTCTACTTGCTATTCTCCTAGTCCAACCACACAAGATCCTGAATTCCACCATCTCGTGGTCGCTGCAACCAAGGCAGCCCTCAACCCTTACTGCTTCAACCAGACCTTCCTTGTTAGTGAGGATGAGATCCAGCAGCGCTCCTCTCCTGGTCGGCTCATCCACCATTTGCAGGAGGAAGTTATCATCCATACACTGGAGGAACCTCCTGGACTGTGGCTGGGTTGCCGAGTGGTCCTTCCAGCAAACATCAGGGAAGTTAAAATCCCCCATGACGACCACGGCCTGTAACTGTGAGGCCGCTCTCAGCTGCCTGTAGAAGCCCTCGTCAACTTCCTCACCGTGATCTGGTGGTCTGTAACAGACACCCACAACAGTATCGCCCCTGCCAGCCTGCCCCTTATGGTTTGATTCCTATGATTATAACTGCTACCTTAAGGATTGGTATGAGACTCACACTCTCTTTTTCATTCTCTCCTGAGTCATGTTCCTTCCTTGAAAGTTGCCAATATGAATTAAATTAGAAAATTACATCAATCAATGCTATTGTAATGTGACTCCTTCTATTCCTAGTGCATTATAGCGATAAATATACACTTTAGCAACAAATACACTACTTAGCAACTGGTAGGTGGTGAAATAGAGACTAGATTTATCTAGAGACAAGGTATTCCAAACAACTAAGATACCTCTCTTTTTCAATGGGTTTCATTCTTCCCATCACAGGCTCTTTATACATCAGCACAGTCAAAAATAGTCTATTTTGCACTCTTCACGGACACATATGCTGAGGTGATAGGATGAAATGCACAAAAATGAAATTGGTCTGAGAATACTTTCTTGAACTGGAGAACTAGAACCAATGTCTAACATTATTCACCATATTGGAAAGGTCTTGTTCTGATTATCATGCAATTTAAAATATTTTTTTTGTAGTAGTAGTAGTAGTGGCCTGGAACTAAAAAAACCCAACCAAACAAAAGGTTTTCTTCATATCTCAAAGTTTTCATCACATCTTAAGCATGCTTTCAAGAATTAAGAATTAATTCCTAAATGGAGGAGGATATCACAAACCTTAGTGTTAAGTGCAACCTGTGATTCTTCTCCTGAAGAAGTTCTTTTACAGTGAACATCCCAGAACCCAACAAATACATCTGAAAGAAGATGAGTACCAGAATTTTATTTTACAATGAATAAAGACTTTGTCCACAGCACTGAAGCCCAAAATACAAATATTATGCACAAAAGTCTGAGAACAAAAATATAATTACATATGCCCATACATAACTAATTAAAACTTTAAAATGTAATAAATGTGGTAATCTATTAAAAATCCTTTTTCTACTGGAGGACAGTAAGCATTTTTCTTTCCCTAGGATTTGAGAGGAGTTACTTCAATATATACGTTTAGGCCAAGCAATACAGGAATGCTGAAAGCAATGACTGAACGGGGCTCAGACTGACTAGGTCTACATTCACAGTCCTTCTCTGACCCAGACCTGTCTCCTCCTGAAAAACTTACCTCTTCTTTTTTCCCTAGAAAGCACTGTACAGAGAGGGATAGCTCTCCTGCCCTTATGGAAGCCTACATGGGGCCTGGAATTGTATTTTTGGCAACAATCTGAAAATAAATGGCTGAGTTGCACCCAGATACATGTAGTTACATGGGAGGGCTGGCACTTAAACTTTTCTCAGTAAGGAAACAAATCTTACCCCTGAACAAAATCACTAAGGTATCAGGCTAGGGCAATTTCTAGAATTCAGTAGCTCTATTCAGAAGGACTGTTTCATCATGGGCCAACGACCCCAGGTTAGAGGCCTCAGTTAGGGGTGCTGGATCCCACTCATTATCTAGTTCAGTAAAGAGGTCCACAACATAAGAGAAAAAGTGACAGGACCTCTTAATTTATATCAGTGTTCCCCAAACTTGCTGCAGACAAGCCTTATTTGAGAATACTGGCAATGCTCCCCACTCTGCTGCAGCATTTGTCCCTCCTTTCCCTACACATCTTGCTTTCTCCAGGATCAGTGCTGCTACACCATTTTGCTTTCTTCCACAAACTCTACTAGTTTTATCTCCTTGCCTCTCATTTCCTTGCTTAACACTGACACAGCAAGCAATGAAATAAAGAAAACTTACTGTTCCCTGAGATCTATCTTTGACGTCATACACGGAGAGTTTGATTTGTGTCATCTGATTGATAAGAGAGTCTTGGAAAAAGGCAATGCTGCTTAGAAAGATAGGATTACTTGTTCCCTGTAATCATAAAAAAAAGGTCAAAAATTAATGCAAGGTGGTATTTGTTAGGAAGAAATGCTTCCTGCATTAGCTTCACTTTTAAGTCTAATCCAGGAGGACCTCACCACTTACCTCAATAATTTCTGTCTGTGCATGCTTCGTCCAGAATGCCTGAGGAGGTGTTGTTACACTCACAGCTACAAAACTATTTGGTTTTCGATCTAGCGACGGAGTCAGGAGCTCACTGCAAGCTTTAAGTATGCAATAAATAAATAAATTTAGATACAGGCTCTTTTTCATATTGCTGTAAGACTCTACATTTGCAGAAAAGCTTATTATACACCCTGCGCAATAAACCCATGAAGGGCCTAATATTCTTTCTACCACCATACTGTAAATGCAGATGTCACTCACCTTTGTGCATACAAACATTAAACATGCAATCAGATCAGTTTGGCTCCAAGCTGTAGAGCTGTAATTTAAACTTGTTCTCTTCTAACACCTGCCTATCCGTGCCCCTGGCACAACTTATTAGAACAGCGTACAAACATAAGTTTTCCTCTGGGAATCTCCTGAGCATGGCTGTAGTTGATTTGAAGTCACGCTCCATTAAGCCCATTACCAAATGGCATTTTGCCATGGAGAACCAATAGAAGTGCTTAAACATTGATCAAGCAGCTCTACTATGTGAAAAGCTAGCCTGTAACTGTAAAAGGACAGCAATTTATTTCCTCTAAAATGTTATTGTGAGTTTAACTGCTGTGAAGGGGCTATGGTGAGTAGCAAATAACTACCAAAAATCTCGGGGAGAGACTCTAGACGATTATATTAAACTTCAGTGCCAAATTATATCTAGCTAGATACAGGTAACTACAATGTGGTCTGACTCTCCGACCACCAGCTAGGTACAGAAATTTAATTCTGAAATTTACCTGGGCAAGCAAAATATTTAAATGTACACTAACCACTCCACAGTTCTCAATATTTTAATTTATCTGAAAATATCCAAAGTACCTTACTCAGCTCTAATTCTTAAGATTCATAACATTATTACATCTGAGAAAATGTTCTCATTTTTCATTTCAAGCATATTGTTAAGAGCATAACCTTCCAAACATTAGTCCACTGTTAGGCCTAGATAACCATGCTGCACTTGAAAATGTGGACTGAATTCTCATGAAGCAAATATTTTTCACTTATTCTTCAAGTGAGGTGAGTTAATACACAATGTTCTTGTTCAAATTTAACCGTCTCAGAAATCAGGTCACTTCGGCATGTCAAATTATCCCTTGATAACAAAGGCCACAGGAAAATGGCTGACACAGGGAGATATCTTCTGAAGTGCTGATATACTGAGACTGAAGACAGCTTCACAGTACCTTCACATAAACAAACCAAACATTTAAAAATTACATTCATATAGCAAACAGTTTAAATTTTATAGGACAGATGTTTTAATTACAGACTTCCAAGAACTGCTGGCTGCTTATCAAAAGATACTGTTCAGGCAGCAAGAAAACTGTACCACATTTCCATAAAAATCAAAGTTTCAATCCTTACTATATGAAAAGCGCTTCAAAATCAACAACTACAAAACCACACACATACTCAATAGCATGTATCACCAAAATTAGCATAAAAATCACTAAGCCTACCTAAACTGAACTCTAAAATCGGCTCATCTGGATCCTGAATGTTTCCTGTAAATCAGAAAAATTAACACAAGATTAGCCAAACACTGCTGTCATGTGAAACCTTTCCTGAAGTTGCAGTCATGCAGAGAAAGAAATTCAATTTTATAGGAAAAAAGACTGTATTTTTAATTGAATGAGCCATGACTGGTATTTAAAATACTTATTAGCTAATCTCTGGTATTTAAAAATTATCTGAGAAACCTGAGATGATCTCATTTTATAAAACATGTTAAAATATGTAGAACTATTCATTTGGAATATGGGACTATAACATGCTGAAGGTCAGTAAAAAACAACAGGATTAAAGCCACTTACTGTCTGAGCCGCAATTTACTCCAAATTACTAAATCAGCTACATCTCCTCTGTGATCAGTAAATAGGGAAAAGTCTCTCTCACTAACCAATGAAGGCCTCTGGGGGTTACAAATCGTAATTTACTCACCATAAAAGGGAGAAAATTCTCAGCTCCCTCAACTCTCTTGAAAATTTTATACCATGTCAGACAAGGAGGTTACCAAGACTCTTCCTAGACCTTGGCATTCTTTCATTGTTTTGTCTTCCTGTTTCTTATTTTTGACTGATAAACATAACTGCACAAAATCTAGTTTAATTTCTTTTTTTCTCCCCTCTCAAATTTTAATGTTTTGTCTATTTTAAAAAAGGTAAGTTTAAGATTTTTTAATTTATTATAATTCCCTCCGGCTAACCAACTATATCTAAATCTTCAGGGATTAAAAGAAAAAACCCGAAGTTAGTACAGGGTAGAATTCTGAAAGGAGCAACAGAGCAATAGCTGACAAGAAGGTACATACCTGCCAGAGAAAGGCCTAGCATGTCAGAGGTGACATCAATGGTGGAGGCCCGTTGCACAGTGCGTGATTTTGCACCATGGCGGGGACTGTGTTCTCTTGCTGTCATTTTGTCATGAAGAACCCTTCTCTTCTTGCCACTTGGCTTTACTGATATTTGTCTTACAGAGTAGCAGAGTGCAGCAGGCCGTCTCCAATTGCTATTCCTCTAACATTACCACACTAAGCAATAAAGAGAGAAAAAACATGCCAAAATTTTAGGCCACTATCAGCTACTGGTTTTCTAACAGCAGCAAACCTAGGGCCATAAAATTGCCTCAGGTCATTGAAATAAAATGCTCAAGGCAGATTAAATGCACAGTAACTCAATTTGCATGAGCTGTACATCTGTAGCATTTTACTGCAAATTGTTGAAGACTGTACCACATACAAGAAAGGCTCTTCTGTCAGAGAATGGGGGTTGAGAGACTCGTTAACAGACCAGCTGCTCTTCTCCTTTGTCTAAGTTATTAAACCATCCTTAATGAAGTTTCCTGGTTTTCATAATCACCAGGGAACACAAGTAAATTCATCAGATGGGGCCTCTGTCTGCAGAGGTAGGACAAGGGATAAGGACAAAGGGACAATGGGTCAGCAGAATGCAGAATAAAAGGGCAGGAAATGTTGTTAGTTTCCACACACTGTGTTGTTCCAGGCTCTACTGCCATGTAGGGATGTTGAAAACTATAAATAAAACCTACTGGGTCAGAACAAGGCTGAAATTCTGGGATGGCGATGGAAAGTAAAAAGGGATGCCTGCTGATGTGGCACATGGCAGCGGCTGTGATTTTCCTTCACCCTAAACTTTACTGCTTTACAGACATCCATGACAGCTGCTCTTCCCTTCACAATTCCTATAAAGTGAAATGTTATGGTAGCAAAGAAACACAAAGCATATAACAAATTTTATTACATTGTTCTATGCAGTGCTTTTGGTTTGGCTGATAAATTTGAATCTTCCTTCTGACAGCCACACTAGCATTGCAGTTACGGAACTTTAGTATTCATTTCATACTATTATGACAAACTCCATTCATTTAGGAAGTGAGACTAGGAGTAAAATCTGATACACCTGAAAGGCAGTAATACAGTGACTAGTACCTTCACAGGAGCCCCTCATTTATTTTACAATATTTGAACCATGCTGCATAATGGGAGCGTATTTCTTTTCCTTTCAGGTTGATGGACCTAACAATGGGCAAGATACATTCTAATTAAATAAAGCACCTAGCTTTTACTTGTGTTTAAAATGGGTGTTTCAAAACTGAAGCCCTCCAAAGGAACACTCAAGCTGCCTAACTTAAGTCTCTGAATTTAACTAGTCAGCATCTCCCTCTGGAGGATTTGAAAAGAATCTTCCTCTCCCCACAGGAACTCAAGCATCTTCTTAACTAGCACTGGTTCACTGGACATCTGAAGTTCAGATGCAAATTAAGCACCTCTGACAACTGAACTAAACACAACCCTGGTCATCTACATGAGCTTAGGAATGAGATTTAAATGGCAAACTCATTGCAGGGAGGAAGGAATTTCAGCTGCATCCACTAGATAGGTCAGTCTGTTGCCAGTCAGAACAAATAATTTGCCTTGGTGATTCAACTCAGCTTTATACAGTACAATGTCGTAAGCCAATTCCAAATAGGAAAAGAGAGAACTCTTGAGTGGAAGAAGCAGAAATTGACAGCTCTGAACATTCCATCCCTAAAAGATTTGAAACTCAGTGACAGCATACAAAACAACACTCTGCTTACAGATATAATTAATGACAGACAAAAATTAAAGCAGGCAGTTTTCAAATTCATACATAATTACAGAACAGCTGAGCTTGGAAGGGATCTCTGGAGTTCATCTAATCCAAGTCCCCTGCTCAAAAGCAGCATCACCTAGAGCAAGTTGCTCAGGACTGTGTCCAGTTGATTTTAGACACTGGCTATAATGCCTCTGGCCAACCTGGTTGTTCCGAAGTTCAATCTCTCTCAAGTGGTTAAATGGCTAGTGAGCCACTGGTCTTTCACAAATAGTACTGAATGTCCTAAGATTTGGTCAAATAAAACTTCCCTCAAAATTATTTGCCAGTTTCCAAGTCTTTCCATTTTCCTAATTATTTTTCTTCTTTCAGCAGTTGGTTTTCCTTGTTTTTTTCTTTAGGTAATGTAGTGTTTCATGGTTTGCAAGCCCATTAAACCTAACCTAATAAAACAGAAGACTAATGAAACAGAATACCTACAGAAGGTGCTTTCAGAAATTTAGACAGGATGCTATAGCTCCTTCCCCCAAATCCTACAGATACCTTAATTAAAGAATAAAGAACTAACAGTTCACATAGGTACAGGTCAGAGAGCAGTTAGGTTAGAGTTCATACAGACACTAAAATATCTGCAGTTGCTGACAACCTTAAAAAGGGTAAATCCTTGAGAAGTTAACATAGGGTCAGGTATTTGCTTTGAAACTATTTTTATTTAAGTATTACTGAGCATAATAAATTTTCAAGGCTAAGTTCTCAACTATTCATTTAAATTGCAATACTAATTTATCGCCTGATGATAATTTTCAGCTTACACTGATCATACTCACAGAGGGCTCTTTTCCTCATGTGTGGAGGGAATTTGTGTATCATCACTTAAGTCCACATCTAAAATAATTAACAAAATAATCAGTATAAATAATAAATATTTTCATAGAGCATAAATCACAACAAACAGGCAGGTATCATTTTTAGATTAACTGTAAAGTTAACTTCTGATTAATAGCTCTCACGTTAATGTTTACTGAAAATGAAAAAACAAAAAGAGTATGATCCTCTGCTGAACCTCACTAATCATAGCAACAGCCAGTCAGAGCAAGAGCACAAAGAAATAAGGTTATGCTAAAAAGGTCTTCAGGTCAGCATTTGGTGAGTGAATAGAATAGCTGTAAGAAACGTATGTTAACATGCTTACTGAAAGGCTTGGTGCTATTAAGAAAAAGGAAAGTATATGATATCTTGAGTATGAGACTTGTTACTACGCTTGCTTTTCTACAGTTAGACGTACAAAATTTTGCTGCTTGGAAGAGTTATAACCACTGTCAGGAGAAAAGATCCTGTGTCAAACCACAGAAGTCCAAGAGATGAAGATGTAGGGCTTTCTCTCCATTGAGTGAAATTACTATGTGAGGTAGGCTTCTCTGAACAGCTACCAATAATCACACAGGAAAAGTGAATTATTTTTAAATCTGCTATGGGTTAACTGAAGGTTTGGAATTTCTAGTAGTACCATCTCATTCAAGTACTTATACATTAATAGGATACACCTTTTAAGACCTCCCATGTATGCCCTACTACAATAAAAGAGATGAGGAAGTCCAGTCTGAGCTTTTTAATTTAATCACCAGCCCTACCAATTACCCAAGACTACTTCAGAACATAGGTCTAAACTCTTATCACTTACAGAAAGGTCTTTTAATCTCACCTAAACTGCAGGAGGCAGGTATCTGATCTCAGCTCACTGCCCAGGGTCTCTAAATAGTCAATGGTGAGACATAGGCACTTCCAGAAAATGAGTCACTGTTTTCCAAGGTAGGTGGAATGAATCACCACAAGAAAGTACCTCTCCTCCTCTCTCTAACTATAGAAAGCATTTAGGTGACTAGGTTAGGCCTGATGCTGCAGCTGCGCAAACTGGATCCCTCACACAGTTGTGCCAGTTCAGGCAGGGGTGACTTCCCTCTGTTCACTGCATAGACTGACATGACCCAACCAATAGGTGCTCTGACCACTCTTTTGGATTACAACCATTTCAACAATTACAACTTTATAATAGGTGGAGGTAGGATTCCTACCAAAAGAAAGGTAGTATTAACATACCGGATAGCTCCCTTAGATGGTACCAAACACTGGTTCCAGTTCCACAGCCAGCAATCCCAAAGGCTGATGTAATTCATGTCCAAACAAACCCTATCCTGAAGATGGAATGATACATTGACACATAGACTTCGGCTTTGCCCTTACTAATACTGCAGACAGTGGATGTTGGCAATGTGTGCAACTTTGCACCTCATGAAGTTTTGCTGCAAGCCCAGGTTTCAACTGTGGCTTCAGATGAAGTATGAATAGCTGCTATTGACCCCCAATGGTCACTTTCATTGTGCAGAAAAGGCTTCTGAACATGACTCCCTTCTATTATGTAAATATTTATTGGGTGCTCTATTAGCACAAAAGCTAATAATCAGAAGAAAAAATCTTCATCAGATGCCACTTCTGGCCTGCTGCTTTCAGTCCTGGCGGTTTGCCATGCAAAGCAAATGTCACTGCTCAGCTGCATGGCCTCACATCCTACAGGCCTGAAAGTTTCAGATGTTTGGTCTCACTCTGACTGCTTAAAAAATCTCAAGCAAACACGATTATCATTGCAGCCCCAAAATAATCCCTTAATGATTAGGTTGTATATAAGTACCAGCTAATATTCTCCTTATCTCTGTTCTCTTTGGTCTGTTCCCTTCTTGGAAGAAACAAGTTTCCTACCAAACTACTCCTTGAAACAAACATGTCAAGTGAGATCAAACCTTTTTTCACGTCAACACCCACTTTTTTGACACTCATTTTACAACCGTAAGAAACAAGATTTTTCCAATTTACACATCAATAAGCAGGAGAAAGAGGCTACTCCAATTATAGACTAAATCAAAGTCTACTTTAAGACCTTCCTATCGCCACACTGCTCTGGGCTCATAGCATTTGATCCAGCAAAGAGGCATGCCAAAGCAGAAAATGCCACAGCAGCAGAATACTAAATGTTACTGATACATCTATATGAAGAGAGTAAGAGAACGGGAGAGTGTGGAAGCCTCTTTAATGCTTCTTTAAAAATGGGGATACAATCCTACTACAAGTTCACCATCACCTCCAAGACAGAGTGGAAAAAGTAGTTGTGAGATACTTACTGAACTGCAGTTAGTTTTACCACTCTCAGGACTCACTGGACTGTAAGGTTCACTCTCTGAACCTTACAAATTTTTACCTCCAACCACAGAAAACCTCGGTAGTGAAACAAGATTCGCCATGTTGGCTCAAGACCAATCTTCCAGCAATTCCAGCATTCCATCTCCAACAGCAATTTCAAAGAAAATGCAAGGAACTTTATTAAACATACTTCAGGGTCTGAAGTGAATGTCTGGATCAATCCTATCACTCATGGCTGAAGAGGCAGCTCAAGGGCAGAACATCAGCTCAAATGACTTAAGTTCCAGCGAAAGCCTGCTAAGACTGACACCAATTAAGAGCTTTCTTCTTTTTTTCACAGTGTCAGAAGCACTTCACTTTTCTATCTCATTTAATGAGAGACTGAATGTCCTGAATCTCACACAGATCACAACAGCAGCAAAGCTCAGAGCCATGAGCTTGACACTGCCCTGGTTTAACCCCAGCAGGCAACCAAGCCCCACGGAGCTGCTCACTCACTCCCCTCTGGTGGGATGGAAGAGAAAATCAGACAGGTAAAAGTGAGAAAACACGTGGCTTGTGATAAAAATCAGTTTAATACGTAAAGCAAAACAAGGAATTAATTCACCACTTCCCATCAGCAGGCAGGAGTTCAGCCACCTCCAGGAAAGCAGGTCTCTGTCATGCTTAACAGTTACTTGGAAAGCCAAATGCCATCATTCTGAATGTTCCCTGCTTCCTTCTTCTTCCCCCAGCTTTATGGGCTGAGCATGATGCCACATGGTGTGGGAAATACCTTTGGTCCTTGGGTCAGCTGTCCTGGCTGTCCCCTCCCAGCTCGTTGTGTACCAGCAGCCCACTTGCTGGTGGGGTGGTGTGAGGAGCAGAAAAGACCTTGACTCTATGTAACACTGCTCAGCAATAATGGAAACATCCCTGTGTCATCAGTGCTGGGTTCAGCCCTTAATTAACTCTATCCCGGTCAAAACCAGCACAAATAGCTTGAGTAAGATTCTTCCCTCCAACCAGACTCAAGGGGACAGCAACACAGGCTGTGTTTACTGCAGATCCATAGGCTGACAGCAAAGTTTCACTCCAGTCACTCCATGATCTAGGACATATCCCTTACCATGCCGTTTGGGAAGTCAAAAGCAAGTGGTGCCAGCATCTAATACAGATCTTTGCCTCCCACTGAAACTACTTCCCCTCCAAAAACATACTTGGACAGGTGCTAGTGTGTCAGCAAAGAGCCTGTATTTCCCCCTCTCAGTCTACTCCTTAAGTCTAAGTTCCCCTCACAAGCTGGCTTAATGTCTCCCTCTCCCAAGGACCATAATCTTGATTACAAAGGACAAAAAAATAAGTTTGCCCTAAAGAGCCTTCTTGCCACTCTCCGAAGCCCTCCTGCGTATCCTGAGCAAGTGGGTAACCACAGTAAGAACAGGGAAAAGTCTTCCACAAGAAAACGAAATAAGCTACCACAAGACACAATGAATGTATTTGTGCAGCATGGAAATATCCAAATGCAACCTTTCAGTGATATTTAGATAAAAGGTCATTTCAGCAACAGAAAGTAGCTTGCTTTCTCTTTGCTTTCCTGTCTACCCTCTCCCTTACAGAAAAACGTGTAAGTCACACACTTTTTTTTATCCTTTCCTGCTATGAACTTTAGCAAACTCAATTAATCTAAAAACCTAATTTTATCTCTTTAATACATTTGAGTACTTTTAATAGAAAACGGTAATCTAGGCCACTTAGTTCTTTGTGCAAATTAAGACTATTTGTCTATATTCACAACTGAAATAGAATTAGCATTCTTTACTTAATGAGACATTGTTTTAAATTCATTTGTCATCACAACACTTCTATTTCTCCTGTACTCCTCCTATGAGTGCAAAAATATGTACACCCACAGGTGGAAGTGAGCATTTGTAACACACATTTGCTGACTAAAAAGGATAATGCACAGCTCTGTTTCACTTTGTACAACAGCTTTCATCAAGTTGAGCACAACACAGTGCCATGAAAAATGAGAGCAGTTTGAAGTCCAACCCTCTCAGCCTCCTCTGTTGTTTTACCAACAGAAACTGAAACAGCTTACAAATGGTCTTTATCCTCGATTAATCTTTACCCTCTTCACAAGACACATGCTGGGTACATTGAGGTGAAGTTTCCTGTGCATGGGTTGACCTTCCTCGTGACCCGAGGTCCTTACACTGCCTATACAGACATGGAAAAGCCCATGAGGGCAGGGGACATATTTTCTGTTGAGGACTTTGGACTGGAAACACATTTCTGAATTTGATGGCCCTTTGAACACAGTCCTACAGCCTGCCTCTTGTCAAGCAGTCTTTCATCATAACCATGATGCTCACAGTGCAGAAAGAGCATTGCTCTAACCAGAAAAACAAAGAGCTTAACCCTATCTCTGAGCTCCTCTTGCTGCAGGAAGGGCTGGGGTAGAAGAACAAAGGTAGAAAAAAAAAACAAAACAAAATGACAAAAAAAAAACAAACAGTTTATGATCTGAAATGGAGATGACTCAGGCACACATACTACTGTTGGTTACAGACAGATGGCAGTAAAATATCCTGCAACATACAGGCAATGAGAGAGCGGGACCACAGAAGACACAGAGGGATAAAAGCACTGAATAGTTTCAGGTTCACTGTATCTGTAATCAGAAGTTTTGGTCAAGCTTGGATTACAACAAA